ACGCCATGCAGTGATTCATGTGGGAAATTTTGCCCAGACAGCAGCACTATGGCCTACTCTAGTACTCTTATATTGAATTCCAACTATCCAAGGGACCTTTTATGTGCATGCCAATATGTTCATAGGACTTCAGTTTTTCGTCCCATCTGAACGAATATTGTCCCTTGTCAGGCGCTATATCCTATACCACTGACAAGGAGGAACCACGCCCGAAAATGAATATTCTTGGCCAACTTCGGGATCGAACGCAGAACCAACGTCTCACTCCATGAGGCACAAGACGAGAAGAAAGAGAAGAAGAAAAAGAAGACCTTGTATGGCAAAATGTTTGGAAAATCAATGCAGAGTGTCTATCTATAGAGTGTTCACAAGAAATAGGTCACCAGTATGCTATGTGCTCATGTGACATGTTTCCTTGTATTAACTATTGTTTGTCTATTATGATAAGTTCCTGAGATTAAAACATGCAATGTCACCCAGTGCATCAATGTGTCCAGGTAAATCTATTTACAGTATCCATTATAACAACTAAAAAATGAAATAAAATGAGTTTTAATGTCCTCCTTCTCTACACTGAAAACTGACAAAAACAATAATCCCTCCCAGTGTATCCATTTAACCATTATAACAATGAAATAAAATGGGGTGTAACGTCCTCCTTTTCTGCAATGACTGGGCTAAACCTGAGAAAAACAATAATGTCCCCCAAGTGTATCCACTTAACCAATATACCAATGAAATAAAATGTGGTGTAATGTCCTCCTTTTCTGTGCCGTCTAGGCTAAAACTGAGAAAAACATGCAATGTTTCGATGTACAACTGTATCTAGGTAAATCCATATATCCATAATAACAGCTAAGAGATGTAATGAAATGGGGTTTAACGCCCTCCTTTTTAGTATGGACAGGACTAAAACTGAGAAAAACAATATTGTTCAGGCCAAGTGTATGAATGTATAGGTACATTGTAAATCCATTTATCCATTATAACATGGAGGAAAACAATAATAAGTTTGTTGAATAAACAAGGAAGACCATGTTTAAAGCTTGTTTAAACTGTAAACAGCTGTTGATAACCATTCATTCTATTTTAACATCTACTTTCTGTTTATATAATCATCATGAGTAATCATTTTTATTCATATTCTAGTTAGTGAAAGGAAATAAGGGAAATTTTGCCTTAACAACAGCACTATGGCCTATACCAGCACTTTTATTTAAAATTCCAACTTTCAAGGGTTCTTTTATGTGCACGGCAAAGCTTACATGGAACCTCGGTCATTCATACTATCCAAACAACCAGATACTGACTTTGCCAGGCCCTCTGGTCACTGACAAAGGGAAACCACACCGGAAAATCCTGAGAGACTTTCTTGGTCAACACACTGAGCGAACCCGAGACCTCACTGAGCCACCAGGGGTCCCCATACATTTTATTCTAGTAATTGTCTTATTTTATTTACAGTTTAAAAGTAAAATCTGCATGCCCACCATGCAACCCACATTACACAATGAATTGTAATTCGTAAAATAGGGTGTATTTAACTCCTACAATTTGGAGAATAATCATGATCTTGAAGTAGAAATCTTCTTCATAGAGAGTGGTAATTTTCAATTCATAAAGGTATTGGTAAGTTCATTATGAATCCTGTTAAAGATAGCTTGGTCGCCGGGGAGACATTCCTCACAGGGTCAATCACTTTGAATTGCACATGACGTTAGTTTTGGACCAAACCCGAATTTTTTGACCAAACCCAACCGTAACCCTAACCCTAGCACGTGGTAGCAAATTTGGTACCGGGTACATTATAAATTCTTATACCATAATTATTACGTGTAACGTTTTCTTTCCACAATAATATCACAAATCTATTATGAATGCTTTTAAATGTGAGGAAATATGACTAGGCTATTTTGATCATAAATCATGATCGTACAATAAACCTGTTTTAGTTCTGCCAGACAAGTGTGTGTATAAAACCCAGAATTACAGGAATAAGAGGAATTGTACTTAACGAAGTTTGAATTTGAGCCGGGCTTGTCCCATGTTCCTAAATCAACGACCACAAATTTTATAACATCTAGATGTTGCTACACTGCTATGTTATCTCCCTTTAAAATACCACAGACACGTGAACAGTAGCGTCCAATCAGAGGTTCTGACACGAACACACTCAAATTAAACATGGCGACCTCCATGGAGGCCTTAACCCTGAACGAACCTTGAACTTTGAAACGCTATTATCACAGGTAGACATTTTAGCTAGATAGCTGGAGACTTGGTATTTGCGATATCAAGGAATCTGATAGGTTCTCAAGTTAGGTCAGCTCCCAATGGAAATTTGAGCCGAAATATGCGAGGTATTACGTTAAGTGCTTGATAAAATGTACAGAGTTAAAGCGAGATCAAGCCTTCTGTTGAAGATGGGTTTGTCCATGACAGATACCTAATTCCCAGACTTGAAAATGGGTTCTAAATGCCATGTGGGTTGTTTTACACAGGACCTCATCTTTTCTGTCCCATCCATTCAACTAGACACTCTTCCTTGCCAGACTCTCTTTTCTACAACACAGACATGGGGAAACCAAACAGGAAAATCCCAAGGAATCTTTTCAGGCAACAATGGGATTGAATCAAAGAACTCCTAATTGGCAGACTGTTCCATATTGACTGACATCTCAAACATGTCACTTACTGACGTCACCTACTAGTACTACATAATTCAAGTTAGTAAAAGTATCGGACTGCTTTCCTTAGGAACAACCTGCAATATCAACAGAGGCTGGATTTTCTGTCAATAATACAAACTCAACTAATGGATTAATTTCAACTACATCTGGGCAGTAAATCATACCAATACACAAAAGGCACAGTCATTACCGTAGTATAATAAAAAAAAGTATTATGAATATTAGTAAGAACTACGTGTATATAATAATATTAATAGTCTATTTATACTGCGCAATATTCATGCATGAGCATGCTCAAAGTGCAGTTCAAAAATGATCACAACTGTCATAAAGTGAATGCTTTCTTGAACAAAAAGGTTTTAAGTCTGGATCTAAACACAGCAATATCTGGAGAGTTCTTTATTTCCAGTGCAGATCATTCTGCCCATATATATTTTGATATATACATGTACATACAGTCTAGTCAGAAATGTCAAAATATCTCCCTAGCCATTTTTATGGCTATATTGAGGACTGTGGGTTAGAGGAGGAAGATAGAAAGAACAGTAAGGCTCTGTATTATTCATAAATTCATTCTTAATACATTCCTTTTCGACTGTCATCCGACAAAACCAACAGACATTTTAAAATCAATTTATTTTTGACCCAAATCCAAGAGGTTTAGTCATTTTGATTGATACCTTTCCAACTACTTATTCCAAAGCTTTCTACAAATTTGTATGATGTAGATTGTGGCAAAAACAATATTATTTGATTTGGGGTATCAACCCAAAAGTTAGGAATGTAGATATGTAGTAAGTCTAGAATATTTTTGAACAACTTTGGACATAGAAAGATCAATCATTCACATTTTAAAAGGTGTATATAAGAAATTGAGTAGCCTATAATCTTCCAAAGATCAGAAGAAAATGTCAAAAAACAGGGCCGTATCTGTCCTCTGGTCACATCAGCCATCACAATAGCTATCAAAACAGCTAGGGAATGAGTCAGACATCATTGACTATAATAGTGGTCAAGTCCAAGGTGAGGCTGATGCAGTCGGTACATCATACTTGTGCCCATAAATATCTATTCAGTATTTTTGTGCTACTTATTAACTACCGATCCCCTATGCTCTACTCTGGAAGGGGAGGGCCCCTAAATTAGTCTTGCTCCAACACATATAAATCATATCGCCGGCCCTGGCTCGTGGTACCCAGGTACTGTACATACCATTCTGATTAAAATACACATCTATATTTCGTTTCTTTTTTTTTTACACTTTGGATGACCTCTACTACATGAAGATCTGACCAGTTGTAGTGGGAGGTTGCATCTGGGGTCATACGAGCAGCTTTTGACCCAATGACGTCAGACATTTGATTACGTGCAGCGCATGCCAAGAACTCGCTGCAACAGACCGTTTCATTGGATAATCAATCACATCACCCAGAACAAGGGTTATATAACAACTTTTCCGGATCCTAGTGTAGTAAAGACAAGTAAAATGAAATTTTGAACTATAAACAACAAAACGAAATAGGATCTGTGTTTTAATCAGATTGTGGACATTCATGTATTTGGGAATCAGATGAATGGGGATGCAATCAAGTTGTGTCAGATATTTAAGAGGAGTGTTAGATCAATGGAATGTTCCCATATAAATGTTCATGTTTTATGGCGATTCAGTTGCTTCTGTTCCTTAGAGACAGGCTTTTCTGGTCTTTGCATTTAACTGATCTGTTGTTATTTTGATAAATTTGATTTGCACTGGCTATAGTATAGACTAGCAGGATACCTGGCTTCGCCCGGGGCCCAAATTTGATGGCCTATATCATTCACAGGGTCATGCTGGTTAATTTGATACCACATGTGGGGGTGGCGTGTGACGACTAAGCGCGATTCACCCGGGACTTAGGTGAAATTCTCCTGAGGCCCAAATTCGATGGCCTAAAACATTCTCGAGGTCATGCTGGTAAATTTAAGACCACATATGTGAGGGTGGAGCGTGACAAGCATGATGGGCAAACATCCACAGATACATAAACACACACACAGACATCTTTGATTTTATTTATATATAGAATAGATAGACTAGGCCTACTTGCCTTTCGCGCCCCATGAAATATTGTAAAAAATAAGCTACTGAATCGTTGTACCTCAATACCGGTTACTAACAACCAAAAGCTGTAGAAATATAAAACTACTGGTATGGACTGACTGAGCCATTAGACTATAGACACAGCCCAGTACATAATAGTCATAAAGACATTTACATACATCCAATATTTATCAAGTGGCCTGTGGGTGTCAAAACGTTCACAAAATTACCTTCAGACTGGACGAAAATGGGACTTTCTTCGGTAGTAGCCATCCCAAACTGTAGCTAAACAGTTCCTGGTTGTTGTACCGCCATTAAAACTGGAAAAGGGATTACTAAATAATGTATTATAAGACAAAATATGCGGAGTTGGGTTGGTTCTTGATTCTAGTGAACTTGGCTCTCGTTTTTCCAGTGTCTTTTTTCCATTGGATTTTACGTCTGGAAAATCACGACTAAAGCGATACCCTTTATAAAATTCCAAGAATAACGAAATTTCCTGATTGGAACTGTCTCTAATGCGTAGTTTCCCAAAATCATGAAATGATATGTTGATATTTCCAATAATCTTTGCACTTTTTGACAAATATTTATAATATTTCCTGCCCTGTGGCAACTGGCTGAGTGACTGTGAATGTTATTATCCGATCCATTGACCCACGGAGCTAAAAATAGAAAAATAAACGCAGTTACCTCCCTTTAGTTACTACTCGTCCATTGAAATAAAACGGCATTGGAGGCAGACCACTTTATTGTCTGCGATATCACCTCGGTGGAAGCGGACGTAAAACACAACTAACAACTAACTAAGACCACTTTAAATTTCACCGCCTGTTTAGCCAGCCACTAATGTAGTTTCTTCATACACTATTATTTAATTGTATTTTATGCTGAAATTATAAATGGGAATGTTATTTTGCACCCAGAAATAGTTATTTTTAATATTTCAGGGATTTATAATACTTTGTTTTGTTTTTTTAAATTGATGTCCCTGAGAAATGAAATGGGGTTTAACGTCCTACTTTTCTGCTCCGAACTGGGCTAATGAAGACCGGATGTCCCATACAATCCTTTACCTTTATATGGCAGGGGTAGGGATCGTGTGGATGGCCGAATGGTTAGTGCGTGAACGCTTTATCATAAGGTCTGTCATTAAGTCAAGTGGAATGGTTTATGTGATGATTTTTTAATATGTGGCACTTACAGAACAATAAAATATTAAATAATCACCTTTTCAGATACAATTTATGCTATGAACGCTGTCATGCATAACTGCTTTTCCCACTTCATTTTATCAGGAATTTGATGTAAAGATAAAAACAACTTGCTTCCACAAAATAATTACACTACAAATTTAAATAATATACCTCTGAATTGGGTTAATGTTGCTGTTGTGTAGATTAACTCGTTATTCAAAATGTTTTTCACCGCATAAGATGTATTTTTATACATAGAATTTAATCAATCCGAATATTTTTCCATTAATGTCATGTTTCAGTAGAATGAGAAGTAAAGCTGGATCAAATGCTTTTGAGAAATCGACGAAGTACAAAAATAGAGGTTTCTTGTGAGGATGAAAGCATAATCCATATTTCTACGGCCCACTTGGAATCCACTATGCACTAGGCTAAGCAGGTTATTTGATTCAGTATATTTATATATAAATACATTTCGATTATTTATAATAAAGGTTTTTGCTCAAGCACAGTATAGATATTAACGTCCCCCTTCTTGTGTATTGGATCAATTCATGATTCACGCCAATGATTAGGAAAACTACCTGATTCAAGAATTAAATAAAAGTTATTTTATACAAATCAATCATATTCATGCATGATATAAGAAGCATCTCATTGAAAATTAGTAATTTGATTGGATAATTTTAGATTGATTTTAGTGCTTAGCCAATCAAAATTGAAGTATCTACTAAAATTTGGATTTTATCTTTAGTTAAAATTTCGTGAAACAGGGCCCAGGTCCACAAGATTTGAATCATTTTTTTTTAAAAATGTGTTAAAATCTGTAGCCTCTATCGCTTCACAAGGTTTTTGGCAAAGGAAGATAACTCCTGAATGGAAGGTTGGTAACAAATATCAATAGGTATAGGGCATTGTGGGGGCCCTGGAGCCTTGAGCATGTGGGGGGGCCCCCGACCTAACACAAGTGACTAGAACCCAATCTGATTAAAACACAGAAATATTTCGTTTCGTTTTTTATAGTTCAAAATTTCGTTTTATTTGTCTGTACTTCATGTAGTGTAGGCCATCGAAAGTATAAAAATATCGAAACGAAATACAGATCTGGGCCCTTAGTCACGAAAACTTAAACTAAGTTACAATATAATTTTAAGAAATACTGCAACTTCATTGGATATATGCAAATTGATTTTACTGGTCAGCCAATCGAATTGCAGTATTTCTTAAAATTTCGATTGTATCTTAGTTCAAGAATAAGGGCCCTGTATTTTAATCAGATTGACTAGAACTTAGGCATTATTCCACACATGAATGTAACTACATAAAACCTAATTTGAAGTCGGTCAGTGATAAATAAGGACCTTTAGTCATATCTGCGATGGTCATAAGGACATTAGTAACAGAGAGAGAGAGAGAGAGAGAGAGATGGGGTTTTAGTCCACTCGACACAAACTAGGTCATTTTGGGACGAACACATGGTTATTTCAATACTTCGCTTGTGTGTTGGGGTCTTTAGCAGTGCTAAGAAACCAGAGGACCTGGAGAAAATCCACGATTGGACAGGTGCATTAGTAACATTCCTTAGTTGATTTTTGATGAACTAGGCTGACACCGATTTAAAAGCGTTTTATTGGAACCAAAACGCGACATATCGTAAGTAATGTAGTCTATACATAAACTACACATATTATACACACCAAATTATCACATAATTATAGTCTAGGGCAGTGATTCTCAACCAGTATGCCATGGAATTTTGAACAGCACACTAAGAAAATGCGACAAACCACATCCCAATTGAGTTATCACTGGTGTCTTCTTATAAGTTCTTAGCTGTGTTTTTCTTTATTTATTTTGAGTCATTCTATGTGTCTATGACTAGTCTCTGTCTACGGGTGAGCGCCGTCTGACTTGACATGTTTTTATTTTGCAAAATTCAAATATTTTTCATATATATTTAGCCAGGTGTGCCGCTATTTTTTCATGTGTTCCGTTGGCAAAAAAAAAGAGTCCAGAAACCAATGTTCCTCAATTCATCTCCAACAAAATAAGGAAAAAATATGTTTGGAGATTGCCAATGATATTTTTGGCAGATTCTGCTATCAAAACTCGATTATAAATGGGTTCAAAGTACTTCAAAGTTACCTTGACTCCACCTCCAACTAGCACAGCAAGTTGTAACCAAAATATTACCGCTAAAAAGAGGATTTTTATGCATTTTCTCGATACACTTTTCCCGTTAGATACCCCCCCCCCCCCAAAAAAAAAAACAGCGGCTGCCAGGCAGGATACTCCCACATTTTGCAAGAGATGGGTAGAGAACAAGCTAAACAAAAAGCGATTTTTGTACAATCCGGGGCCATAATTCAGGAAGTTACAATCCGATATGCACTAATATCAACAGGAACCAAGATCTTTCGGTTATAAACTTACATTTCAAGTTTCATCAAAATCAGAAGAAAATTGTGACCTCTAGAGGGTCCACAACTTTGACCTACCATATTTTTACCCTATTTGAAAACGAGGGGCAGCCATTTTGTCTGTCAGTTTTGGGCCGATTTGCATGAAATTCGAACTCAACTTTCCTTAGGGTGTAACGGTGATATACTAAAACGTGTTTTTTAAATCTGATAAAAATTATGACCTCCATAGGGTCCACAAGCTAAAAACGCGATTTTTCGTACAATCAGGGGCCATAATTCAGGTAGTTATGGTCTGATATGCTTGAATATCGAACGGAACCAAGATCTTTGGGTTATAAACTTACATTTCAAGTTTCATCAAAATACATGTAGGATTAAAATTGTGACCTGTATAGGGTCCACAAGCTAAAAATGCTATTTTCCGTACAATCAGGAGCCATAATTCATGAAGTTGTGATCCGATACATGCCAATATCGAAAGTTGGAGATAAACCTATATTTCAAGTTTCGTCAAAATCGGATAAGGATTGTGACCTGTAGAGTGTCCACAAACAAATTGTGGACGGACGTCCAGATGGACAGGGACGACGACAATATACGTCCACATGAAAATGTGGGCGTATAAAAACAGAAACAGGATACCATACGACAGGACGAAGTGGCATCGCCAGATTACACCCAAATTCTTGGATGTCAACTGCGATCTTTCAGGAATTTGAAAATCCTTGGTCACATCGCTTTTCCCATTACTAAGATTCTTTTGTGCCTCCCCCCGATGTCGGAGGCCCTGGGGTCTGGGCTCCACCATGTCCTGTTGTTAATCCGGCCCGGGTATAAGCTTCACCCTCTTGTGAAGTCAATGTTTCACATCAAATTTGAAAAAGATCTGTTTAGAAATGAAGAATTTATCGCATTCACATGGTGTTGGTGTTTGGAAAAGGGGGCATAACACTGATTATCGAAAGGGTTTGTCCTGTCATGACCCCAAGGTTTCAAATCAAATTTGAAGGGGGCATAACTCAAGAATGGAATGTCTGATGCACAGCAACATCAAACTCATCCGAGATCTTTTCAGTGACGTGCCAGGGCCTCTGAAGTAGGGTAGGCAGACCAAACTTAGATACCTTTTTGCGAACTAAGCGACCTACGAATAAAGAAAAACAAGCATCAAAAGTTCCAAGAGTTAACGTTCACAGCCCAAAAAATTAGACGATCATGATTTGAACACCGGTCGTGGCACAGGTGTAAAAAGTTTACTTTAAGGAGCTAAATTGGTAATATTTGGGACCTAGAAATTGACACAAATGGCAATCTCTAGTGTCTGGTTATTCCAGTCTACACCAATAGTATTTATTGAGCATACTCTCCAGATAAGAATATGGCATCATCGTTTCACAATGCTGAAACGCATTATGGTACACGAATCGTGTACCAATGGTAAAATGTTTATTTTGTCTTAAATATCGGATATCATAAGCCCATCTTGTCCTGGTAAGATCACAACATCAATGTTTATTTAAATTGACAAATAATTTGTTTTTCAATGTCTTTGGATGATACTGAGTTAGAGACTTGCTACTACTTTAAGAGCGGCCAAGGATGTTACTGGGACAGAATAAATGTCAACAGGGCTAGATCTATTTGTTAAGGCCAACTCAATTTTCGTCAAGGTCGCTAAGATGTAAAAAAGGTATGCAAGATTGTATGTTAGGGTTATGGTAAGCGTTATGGCTAGGTCCAGGGTTAGTGTCATGTATGACAATATCTTTGTTAAATAAAGATAGTTTACAATATAGTTTGCGGTGGATGTACCAAAGAATTTATACCTCAACTAGCAGGATACCTGGCTTCGCTCGGGGGTCATAACTCCGAAACCGGAAGTGGTAGACTAACGCCACCTGGCCTATGTTACTCCCCGGTTTGAGCTACCCCTATACCCCAAATTTCAGACTCGGGGCAGACCTGGTGTAGCCCTCAACCCCGAACAGACAAACGACAGTCACAAATATTAGTATACTAGCAGGATACCCGGCTTCGCTCGGGGGTCATAATTCCGAAACCGAAAGTGGTAGACTAACGCCATCTGGCCTATGTTACTCCCCGGTCCGAGCTACCCCATACCCCAAATTTCTGACTCGGGGCAGACCTAGTGTAGCCGCCAGCCCCGAACAGACAGACAGATACCCGGCTTTGCTCGGGGTCATAACTCCGAAACCGGAAGTGGTAGACTAACGCCACCTGGCCTATGTTACTCCCCGGTCCGAGCTACCCCTATACCCCAAATTTCAGACTCGGGGCAGACCTAGTGTAGCTGCCAACCCCGAACAGACCGGCTTCGCTCGGGGGTCGTAACTCCGAAACCGGAAGTGGTAGACTAACGCCACCTGGCCTATGTTACTCCCCGGGCTGAGCTACCCCTATACCCCAAATTTCAGACTCGGGGCAGGCCTAGTGTAGCCGCCAACCCCGAACAGACAGACTTCGCTCGGGGGTCAGAACTCCGAAACCGGAAGTGGTAGACTAACGCCACCTGGCCTATGCTACTCCCCGGTCCGAGCTACCCCTATACCCCAAATTTCAGACTCGGGGCAGACCCAGTGTAGCCGCCAACCGCGAACAGACCAGCTTCGCTCGGGAGTCATAACTGCGAAACCGGAAGTGGTAGACTAACGCCACATGGCCTATGTTACTCCCCGGTCCGAGCTAACCCTATACCCCAAATTTCAGACTCGGGGCAGACCTAGTGTAGCCGCCAACCCCGAACAGACAGACAGACAGACAAACAACAGTCACAAATATATATATAGATAGAAGATAAATATAGTATATATGTTATTGTTGTTTATTAAAGTTTGACAACTGATGAACATGTTTTTAGATTATGGTAATAAAGTTTGATTTATAAACATTTGATTTTATTATTTATTTATAAGATGTATGATAGTTGATATTTGCTACGGTTGAGTAACTCACATGTCTGGTTGCAGGTATGATTGCATTGAATGCATGTGGGCTGCCTGTTTTGATGTCGTGATATGATTGGTTGCGAGTGAAACTGTAGTTTACATGGTAGGAGATATGAATTTATTGCACTCTAATGATGGATTTTGGGAGAATCACACATATTCATTGGTCATATCATTCATGAATCATTCGTATAGATATTTCAACTAAATGGGTGTTGGTTTGGACTGTTTATTATTTATGGTAATCTGTGTGATTAATGAGTAATAATTAGTACATTTATTTGTAGGTGTTGTTTGAATTTTGTAATGTTGATAATCATGGAAATGTAGAAATATTTTGATTATTTGTTAAACATTGTGTTATGTTTTATAGGTGACCTGTTTCTGTTTCTGATAATGTTAAAGTGCTACGGATATTATTACTCTGGTCGTTACTGTTCCAGTTATTTATTTTATGGTGATTAATAGATCTACATGAATAACTCATCAACCTTTTCATCTTGATCATCTTCTTAAATGAGAGTCAAATATTTATTGATTGCTGTTTGTGCGTTTACCACCAACTCATTGTCATCTTATCAACCTAGAAATGTGATTCGTCGTGCTGTTTTAATCAGTGATATAATGAACACATTAGAGAATAATTACATGTATATACATGTTATATTATAATTGTATTCATATTATATTAAATTAGAATGTGTTTTTGTTAATGTGAACTATAAGTACATGATCGTCAATCTGCCCCATAAAGAACCAAAGGTCCAATTTTGTGACAGTTAGGTTTAAGAATTTGGGGGAGAGGTTAAGTCCATCTGCCCCAACTGAATCACATAATTTGACAAATATTTTTTTCAAGCAGGAAAAGGGGGACCATAATGTTGTCAATGGGGCAATAGGAATATTACGACATTGATGCGAGCATTTGAGGTATTTGAGGTATATTTTTCAAAATTCGAGGGCAATTTTTCAGAAATGAGAGCACTTTTTCAGAAGAGAGGGCATATTGCCACATATACCCCTATGCCCTAGTAGGAAATTTCATTGTATTCGAGGGTTATCAAACATTTTCGTTTCTTTTGTATTTGCATTTTGCATTGCCTACCCCGCATGCCTCTGGATCTTTTGATCCTTACCATATTTCTTAAATTTCATCTAAATTCGGCAATAATTGAACGTATTTCTCATTTTGCATACAAGGCATAACTCCTGAACAAAAGGTCCAATGCGCATCAACATCAAACTCATCCATGATCTTTTGATCCTTAATAGTAAGTGCAGGGGGACTGCACAACACTTATATGTTTTCTCAAGGGGGTGGGGGTGTATTTTAAGGGGAAATTTCAGTCTGATCTTTCCAAAATTCAAACTCATCCTTGATTGTTGTTAAGTGAACATATATTTGAACAGTATTTTAAATTGAATTATAAAAATTGTGACATCTAGAGGGCCCACAAGCTATATAGGCAGTACTTAGGCCCCTACGCGATTTTAGAACAGTGGCTAAGGCGCTGGCTCACTAAGATCCTGTGTGGTCAGGGGCGGATAGAGAAATGTTTTGCAGGAGGTTGCCTGGTTCCTGAGACAAGGTATCTTTTAAGTGTGTGGGGGGAGGGGGGAGGCTGGGCGTATATCTGGAGTAACCAGAGGTCACTTTGACAAAATATAGAAACTATGATTTTACATAAAAAAAATACTAAATACATGTACTACGCTACGTTTTAGTTTTACTGATATGCAATAAAATCAGTTCTGCGCGATTTTACAGGAAACTTTAAGGAAGCAAGATAGAAAAACAAAAACAGATCTCGACTCTGTCAAACACCATAGTAGAACCATCTGATGATAAAGCACACGACTGTGGAACTTTTCTCATAATATTTTTTATGTAGCTGAGCGGGGGGAGAGGGTACCGCCCCTGGTGGTTTCCCAGTCTCTCAAAGTTAACACCTGTCTGCATTAGTCCACACGGTGCAGAATTACAGTGGGATGTTAAAGCCCATTTCATTTTATTTTGTTCAATCATTGGCAATATAATCCAGAAGTTGGATAGCCTACGGGTCCGATATGTGCTAAAATTGAACCCATCCCAGATCCTTGGGATAAACAATTCAAGTTTCATAAAAATCAAATAAAATTGTTACCTGTTAGAATGTCCACATCAATATTTATTGTGAACAGACATTCGGACATGAGTGACGCCATAATATAATGTTAAATGAAACCACATGAACAATTATGTACTCCGGCAATGAATGTATATTGTGATGTGACAAAATATAAATGAAATGAAATGCAGTTTAACGTCCTACTGTTTTGCTCTGAACTGAGCTAATGAAGATGGGCATATACTATAATACAGTGTGCTATAAGGGAAAGTAGCCAGGAGATCTTTTACGTGCATACCAAACAGGACCTTGGTTTTCCGTCCCACCCAAACGACTAGACAGCTGTCCTTCATCGGTATACAGACAACTCATCCCAAGACAACTCATCCCAAGATAAAAGAAAACTCATCCCAAGATAAAAGAAAACTCATCCCAACTTTAAAACATGGGTCGAGATATAAGATAACTCATCCCAAGAAATATACGTGCCAGTTATATTTGTTTTAATACAATTGCTTTCTTTGAAGACTACTCAGACCATTGTGATTTTGTTATAAAAATGTGTTATCTGAATAAAATTGATTTTGTTGTTTTAATAAAATCAATATTGTTGTTTTAAATTTTAAGTTATTTTAAGTTTTTGCCGCTCCGTATACTTATAGCGTACACGTTTCAATTCCATCTTTGAACCATACATGCAACTGAAAATGTTGGCCCCAGTCGTGCAGATTGTTTCCATATTATTGTCTGATAGAAATTCGTCAGAATATGACATTATATCCTTATCTTTATGTATGAGTTTCAGTATAGCTAATATCTTGGGATGAGTTGTCTTCTAACTTGAGATGAGTTGTCTTATTTTGGGTTGAGTTGTCTTTGGGATGAGTTGTCAGGAGAACCACGTCGGAAAATCTGGATGAACTTTTTCGGCCAATACAGGGATCGAACACCCGACCTCCCGGCTAGCGAGCCAACGTCTTCTGACTTCTTACCCACTTTGCCACCGTGACCTCCCGACAAAAATAGTGCGCCTTGTATATCATATATAATGTTAAACTTGTTAATAAAAAAAACCCCTTGAAAACTGTTATTTGTTTTTCCTAGCAAAAACTGTTACTTTTTGTCCGTTACTTTCTTTTACGTTAACCAATATGTCCACATGAAAATTTGGGCGCATAATTAAATGCCCTGAATATATCGCCTTGATTTTCCCGCCGATTTTTCATGCAATGGGCGTGCGCGTGCATTTTGTCGAGGTTACCCAGTGAAGAGATCTGTTACATTGCAGAGTTGCGCGTTAGTGTCTATTTATAGGTTATCAACATTGACACACAAAAAAGTCACATGGCTTGACGGAGACAATAATAGGACAGTTATTGCCTTTATCATATTTTGTAAACCATTCAGCTAAGAGCAAGCAAATATGGCAGCAAATAATGGCTTACGTTACAAAGACAAAGTGACAATTGTGACTGGCGGTTCAAAAGGAATTGGGTTAGGAGTAGTGCAGGTTTTTGGTAAGAACTCTGAATTGTCTTAATTACTTTGTCTTTGGTTTGTTTGGCGTTATGGGGAGCTTGATATATATAGTTCTATCTGGCACTAGCTTAGTACGGTAGCTATCGCGATAAACTATCATATTTTTCTTCAAAACAAGGATTGATTATTGTTGTTTTTATTCAATTCTCTGGACCAAACAATAGTAAATAATAGTATATAATCATATAATTCATGCTATGTCGAAAACGATCAAAGATATGTAGTGCCAATATATACAATAGAATTTTATTCCATGCATCGCAACTCCTTAGTAGAGGACAGCACATAAAAGAAAAGTTTAAAAATTTTGCACTTGTGACTTAATCAGAGCACTCCCGACCAGACAATCAACCAGCAGGGTGTGTGTGTGTGTCTGTGGCACGTTAAACCCAATTTCTTTTCATTTGGTATCGATTCGATAGGATACTGTGCATACACCACACATAACTACACCAGTGGCGGCTGGCGGCGGTGGTTGGAGGGGCAAAGCTGGGACAAAGTCCAAGGTTAAGTGTGCAAAGGCATGAGCTTCGACTAGTGGTAGGTGGGCCTCCCCCAGAAAATTTTTAAAAACAGGCTGCCAGAAATGCAGCTTGGCAGTATTTCAGGCACTGATCGTTGAGATAAAGTGTCAAAAGTACGGACTTGCGCGAACATCCATAAAGCCCACTCACGAGCGCCAAAGTAGGGAGTGCTTACGGAGGGTATGGGTGACCTCCCCCAGAAAATTTTGAAAAATAGACTGCCGGAAATGCTATCTGTGTATTCAGTCAAGCAAGGATCGTCGAGATGAATTGATCTGACCAGATACTGCCATCGCCTCATCACTAGTTTATCCAACCAGAGAACAAAGTGTCAAACGAACGGACTTGCGAACCTCTACGAAGTCCCCTTGGGAGCGTCAAAGTAGCGAACCCTTGTGGGGGGTATTGGGGACCTCCCCAAGAAAATTTTGAAAAATAGACTGTCGGAAATGCTGTCTGGCAGTATTCTGGCACCGATTATCAATATAAATAGAGCTGATCTGATACCGCCTGTTGTCCGATCACTAGTCTATCCGACCCCAGAGAGAAAAGTGTCAAATGAACGGACTTGGGAACCTCAAAGAAGCCCCCGAAAATTTCGAAAATAGACTGCCCGAAATGCAATCTGGCAGTATTTCAGGCACTGATTGTCGAGATAAATAGAACTTACCAGATACTGCCTGTTGCCAAATCACTAGCTTATCTGACCAGAGAGGAAAGTGTCAAATGGACTGCCGGAAATGCAGCGTGGCAGTATTTCAGGTACTGATCGTCGAGATAAAAATAGTTGACCAGATACTGTTCGTCACCAAATCACCAACTTATCCGAACAGACAGGGAGGTGTCAAACGAACGGAGTGAGTGTATCAAGTGAATGTATATTTTCGCCGCGTATGTTGAACCTATACCAAAAAACTTTGAGCATCGTAAAAAGCACTTCTCAAGTGATTCACATGTTATTATTTATAGCAGGATGGACTTGGTAAGAAATCACTCAGCAGGCTCTACTACATGCAAGTCTATGACTGTGGGATTTAATCACTGTAGAAGGTATTGATCACCGAAACGTATCACAAATACTTTTTTTTAATTTTTTTAAATTATTGGGAGGGGGGGGGGAAACGGAGGGCAGACCAGATTAATGGGGGGGGGGCAAATGCCTCCCTCCCCTTGCCCCCCCTTTGGCGCCGCCACTGAACTACACAAGACAATAAAACACAAGCATTGAAAAGCACTATGTTGAATGGATCGAGTGGCGTTCTAGGTAAAGTTTAGGGTAGACCTTGAGTTTGATGCCAGCATCCAAACAAGTGCAACCAATATTGACCAGGAACTGAGCATGAGACCATGGCAACCATCTTGGAATTGTGACATCACATCAAAAATTGAAGTCCATTAATCGATGTGCAATTGTCCAAGGAACAAGCATGCCAAGTTTTGTGTCGACCGTACTTGAATTGGCGGATCCATAAGCTTTTTTTGAAGGAGAGAAGAAGAGAGCTTAGGGAATAGTTCCTGGTCTTAAAACCAAACACAATTCACAACAAACAAACTTAAAACTGTTTAACAGAAGCAGTGATTTTGTTGAAAATTACTCCCAGAAAAACAACTTTTTTTTTCAATGAAGTAGAACTGAAGATCCACACACATTAAAAGTGTCTAAAGTTGGTTATGGTCATGTGATGTTAATAAATGCCAAATTAATAATTAATATAGCATTTAAGGCCCAAAGAAAGACCTACAATAGGCAGACTTTGCTCTTACATAATGCCTATTTAAGTCTTTTTCCCAAAGACATAAGAAGCAAAATTTTAACCAGTGTTCCCAAAGAACAGAAAATCAAATTGGTGTGACGTAAGCATTTATATTTATTGAATTATAAAGAAATTGTGTTTATGGGTTATTAGAGTGAAGCCATATGATGATGATGATGATGATTAATAGTTGGTCTTGTGTCTGCTATTAATAATATATCATGAAATAGACATGTGACATATGGTACACCATATTGTAGATGTAGTACTTTATCATTTGATTAATCATATGTCTAGTCTTTGTCCCCTGAAATACAAGGGAATATAGACACTCTTGAAAGAGGGAGCCAGAGGAGCTGATGGGGTGCTTCCTTCATCATCCAAAGTTTTGACTTTAACATTTGGTGTGTTCAAGGAATATATTTCAATTTAATTAGGAATATATTTCAATTTAATTAGGAATATATTTCAATTTAATTAGGAATATAATTCAATTTAATTAGGAATATAATTCAATTTAATTCAATTAAAGGCAGGATTTTTTCAAGAATAGTAAGGAGAAGACAGCGCGACCAACGCCTACAACTCCTACTGATATTTCTGGTGCCTTATCTTCCATGTAAATCTGTTTCTTATTAATTGCAAAAAGATTTAAAGCCCTGTAATTGATATGCATGCCCAGGCCCCACAGTTTAACACCAGGGACTGTTTGTCGGCCGGAGGCCCCAGCCCCTGGCCGCGTGAGGGGCACCCACTCTAGGGTTGTCTATGCCCTGGGTGTGTGAAATTTTTGAAAACTGAAATGAAATGATGTTTAACGTTCTACTGTTCTGCTCCTATACTGGGCTAATGAAGACTGGCATACGCCAAATTTTTGAAAAGCTAACTGTAAATGGTGCCTTTTAGATTATATCCTGATGTTTCTAGGTTGTGAGCAAATTTAGTGTGTGGTAATCTTAACAGGTCATCCAAAACAACATATATTCATAATTAGAAAGGGCCCCAAACTATGTATTTAGGGGTCCCAGGGTCTGCCGTACTCGAAGACCCCTTCTCTGTCCATCCCTGTTTGACCCTTTGAATCATATGTCAGCTATATATTTAGATATATTTTTGAAGTCACAATGCGGTTGAAGTGTCTGAAGACTGAAACATACTAGAACAGGGTAATTTCGTATCATTTGCTGCCCTGGATTATATTTTTTTGCCAGAAATGATGACGAAAACCCCACAGGATCCCCAGATACAGCAACGGTCTTACATCATCACTAATTTGTATGGATTTGCCTCTCCCCCCATGCCTGTTTTACGTAGTAGTCTTACGTTGGATGGCCGAACATAAATTTATCACATAAATAACTTTATTTATCTGTTTGTAAATTATAGGGTGGGTTGGATGGCCGAATGGTTAGCACGAGCACGCTGTATCATGAGGTCTGTCATTGAGTCAACTTGCGTGGTTTCGAATCCCTGGTTGTACGTGATAAGGAGGAGTAGGGTCGCCTGTCCAACCTCGTGGGTTTTCTCGGGTCCTCCGGTTTCCTCCCACTGCTAAAGACCCCTACGCTCAAGCGAATTATTGAAATAAAATTAAATCATATGTTAGTCCCGAAATGACCTAGTTTGTACCGAGTGGACGTTAAACCCCATTTCTCTCTCTCTCTCGCTCTCTCTCTCTCCCCCCCCCACTCCAATTTGTGGACAAGCCCCTGCTAAAGTATCTAGGTTGACATACACCAAATTGATTGGTGTTTTAAGTTATCACAGTGTGAACATAGTGTCAATTTTTGACCTGTTGACAATTATCATATTAGCTTATCACTTATTATACTAACAGTGATAATGGATTGTTAATATATATATAATTCTTTATAACCTACATGTTCATTATCAAGTGTATATATATATATATATTTAGCCATGAACTAATCACACCTATTGGATATGGTCTAAGACTATTGTTATCTATACTGTTAATGGTTATATATATATTGGGGTACAGGTCCATATTATATAATTACGATAGATCTCAATTTTTGCCCAAAATAATACCTTCTCCAGGGCTTATCAGATTCTTGCACGGAAATATGTTATTTTTGTCTGAAAATGACCCTATTTGCTCTAGAAATGATATCTCTTTTAGGAAGGCTCCCAATTGAAGCCCCTTTCTAATATGCCTGTATTCATGTGGTTAAGCTTTCATCAGTGAAGGAATGGTTCCAGGAGTTTTTGTGCAAAGAACTAGTCATATTAGCATATGTAAACAATTTTGTGATATTCTATCAGTTTACTACACAAATTTCCTAGCAGTTTTCTACACAAATTTCCTAGCAGTTTGCTGAACAAATTTTCTATCACTTAGCTAGACAAATTTTCTAGCAGATTTCTATTCAAATTTTCTGCTCTCTGTACAAATCTGCTATCAGTATTCTACACCAAATTTCTAGCAGTTTTCTAATCAAATTAGCCATCAATTTTCTATGCAAAGTTTCTAGCAGTTTTCTATTCAAAAGAATTTGTTACTTAAAGCGGTATACAAATTCCTACCGGGAATTCTCGTATTTAAGCCCTGGGCTTAATTTCGAATTTGACCATGTCAGTGATGAAACATTTCTTCTGAAATTAAGCCCTGGGCTTAAATTCGAAAAGAGAAAAAAATGACAATCATTTGGGTTCTTTTTATAATTTTAAATGGAATGAACCAAATTCATCAAAAAAAATGGCTTTTAAAACACAATTCTGATACACTGTCACATAAATGTTCTGAAATACAAAAAGAAACTGTCCATAAACTTTAAATTTCAAAGTTCTTTGAACAAATCAGATCTCAAGGCTAGCTTTTACTAGTATGGTGAGCATCTGTTACCCATCAATCTCCTCGTCTGAACTGGAATCCTCAAACGGGTCGTCACTGAGTTGGTCCTCACCTGGCAGTACAATACCGGAATGTGACTGGAGAACATCTTGTAGCCTATAGTTCACATGTGGTTTGAAAATTTAAAAGGGAGACCACTCTAAAATAAATTGTAAATTTAACCCCATGCGCTTAAATTCGAAATTTAACTTATTATTTAGCTCAAGGGCTTAATAGCGGCAGGGCTTAAATACGAGGATTCCCGGTATGCAGAAATTTTGTTAAAAAGTTTGTAGCCGATTAATCTGCTTAAAACACAGATCCTATTTCGTTTCGTTTTTTATAGTTCAAAATTTCGTTTTTCTTGTCTTTACTACACTAGGATCTGGAAGAGTTGTTATATTGCTGGTGTTTTGGTTGTGAAGTGAGGGATAAGTCAATGAAATGGTCTGTTACGGTGATTTCTTGGCGTGCCATGCACAGAACTGTGGGTAAACCACTAGAAACGTCAACGCTGATTGATTAATCAATGTCTAACGTCATAGGATAAAAACAGCTCATATAACCCCTGACACGACCTTCGAGTACAACTGTCAGATCTTCATGTAGTTTAGGCCATCGAAAGTATAAAAAAAAATGAAATGAAATATAGATCTGTATTTTAATCAAATTGGGAGCCGACCAAATGACAAAGGTCATGATGTAGACCTGTGATTCTTGTTGAACATTTTCAAGGTTGATAAATGTGTTATAAGATAAATGGATAGATTTACATATTACTTCAGTTACTGATAACCTAAATCTTCCAATTTTTTACTGTGTTACTACTACAATAAACACTTTTTGCTGTGATAATATTTTATCAGACAAATTTGATCTACATAGATTGGGTATGAAAGACCTATCTTACAAGGGTCTTGCTATAACATGTATGTAGTAAGTGGACTGTGATAGTGAAGCGCTAGCTTTTGCATAATATCATATTAAGCACATATTCTAGAAATAATCTTGAAGAGATCTTTTTTTTATAAACCATATTTAGAAATCATCTGCATAATTGATTAATGACCTTTGAGTCTCTGTAAATAAGGTACTGGCTTGCTAACCAGGTGGTCATGGGTTTGATCCTGGTATTGGCCGAAATAGTATCTATGTTTTTTTTGGCATTGTTTCCCCATGTCGGTGGTGCATTATGGAGGGCGTGGCAAGGAACGATGTCCTATCCTTTGGATGGTACAAAAAAACGATTTCTGTTAAACACATTGGCATTTGAAATAAACGTAGTCTGTATAGCGTAACTGTCTAGGCAAAAATTTACCTTATAGTAGACTGCATGATGTGAGTCAGCCTTCATTAGCCTGATTGGGACTGAAGAGTAAGACGTTAAACTCCATTTCATTTCATATTCTATTAATGATCTGCCAATTCGGAAATGATCAGAATGATTGAATTATTGAGTTTACAATATGTTAAAAGCCATTCTTTTCACCAAGTAACTTATTGCTTACGGTGATGGAGTGAATATAAAATACCTACCTGTATATGGTTTAATGATTTAATTTTTTTTATTCTTCAAATTCTGTTTTATTTTCCTTCACAACAGTAGTATCTGGAAGGGTTATTAAATAAACATGTTCTGTTTGATATCAGAGTTTATGTGTGTTTAGTCACATGTGAGCTGTTGAAAACAAAACAAAATTTGTATATATATATAATATATCCAGAAATATTAGCACAACCGTAAAGCTGCACTACTCTGTTTCACGGTAAACGATGAAAAGATAAAAGGTATGCCGAGACAAACTGATTTCACGATGGTTTAATAACATTTTAACATTTTAAAGTACTTTTCGTCCGTCTTGGGACTATTCATAAATAATGTCATTATATATATATATGTGAAGTTTACACCTTTCAAAATTCACCTACTGGTACATACCGGTAACCCCAAATGTGACCTTTCTACCCAAACAGTCCAATCTATATGAAGTGGATGCCATTAAAAGTACAAAGAAACAGAACAAATTTTTTTTAGATCAGATTATAATGAATTTTAAAGGCACAACAAGCTAGATTTTTCACAAATTTTCGAAAGTCAAAAATACATGTATTACTGTTTTAATATAAAGACTGTGGTAGTTATGTAATTTACATCTGAGTATAAGAAGACCTACATTTAGAATGGTCTGGTGTACACGTACAAAACGGGTAGAACAATATTATTACTATGTTTTCTGAAGGCGATATAGATGGCAGTGTGAAATCTATACAAACTGAGGGAAAGTAATTTGGATTGTGTATGGTCTAACATTAATTCTATCATGTTGGGGCTTTAATTAATTTTTCTTTTCATTGATATATTTCAGTCAAAAATGGAGCCAAAGTTGTATTTTGTGCCAGAAGAGGTAAGTAAAAAATTCATGTAAATATGAGAATTCATTTTTCCTATATTATGGGGAGTTGGGTGGTCAAATGGTGTAATGTGTGTGCTTTAGATCATGAGTCAACAGTGACATGGTTTCGATCCCACACTTGTATCTGCCTAACCTGGTGGGTTTTTTTCGGGTACACCTTTTTCCTCCCACTGCTAAAGAACCCTATGTGTAAACAAATTATTGAAATAAAATTGTACCATATACATGACAAGGAGTAAGTTTGCCTGTCCAATCTCGTTGGTTTTCCTCCCACTGCTAAAGACCCCTACGCGCAAGCGAATTGTTGAAATAAAAAATTAAACCATGTGTTAGTCCCAAAATGACCTAGTTTGTGTTGAGTGGCTGTTAAACCCCATTTGTCTCTCTCCTATTCCGAAATTGGGGATGGGTGTTGCCGATGATTAACACATGTGTGTTGCACCATTAGGTCTGTCATTGAGCCTGGTAGCATGGTATCGATTCCCTGCTTGTGTATAACAAGGAATAGGGTTGTCTGTCCAACCTTGTGAGTTTTCTCCGGGTGCTCTGGTTTCCTTCCACTGTTAAAGACCCCTACGTGCAAGCGAACTTAATTTGTGTTGAATGGACATCAAACCCCATTTCTCTCTAGAAAAGCATTAAGAATAAGACAAATCTAACAGTAATTATTCCATTTGTTTACTTTTAACACATTGAATTTAATAATATGTTTCATCTTATGAACCCTTTAATTGATTTGAAATCTTTTTGATTTTTATTAAAACAAGTGGATGGTAAGAAACATACATAATCTTGTTACTTAAAGCCGCTCATTGTCATTTGCATTTTACAGACAATATCAAATTTTTCTTGACTTAATTCATGGTAAAATTTACTCGTTTTGATTGTTTAACATTTAAATAAGAAAATAAAACCATAATATGAATGGTAGATAATCTTCCGTCGTGGATTCAATCAGAATAAAAAGAGGCCCATCAAAAGATATTACCCAATCACTTAGAGGTGGTACTGGTTGTTTATATCATCTGCAGATGAAGTCAAATTTTTGAAAATTTTCAATTCATCATATCTTTGTAAATACTGAATGGCATTGAAACAATTTGGATGTAGATTAAATTTTGACAATTTTAAAGTTTGCAAGGGATTCCAAAACTCTCAAATGACAATCAGCGGCTGTAGTTATTAATGCATGATGTAGATTAGAAACCATGTTAATGTAGCCTTTGTAATAACAGTATTATCAGATTTTGTTGTAAAGTTATATTCAGTGACAGTCAAAATACTAATTTGCTTATTGAGCAGTTTAGGTCAATTCTTGTTCAGATTGCTAATTTGATCTGGAGTTGACCAATCACAACAAGCAAATCATTGAACACGCTTTATAAATTAATGTCTTTAGTCAAACATACTAATTGCTTTTTACGCAATTTATGTTTATTATATTCTATATTTTCAATTCTTTAGGTTGATTAATAATACCTTTGACTTTCATTAGTCAGTCAAATGTAAAACATTTCATTGAAATTTATATATCGTAGGCTTTGATTGGTAGGTTGATCTGTAATCAATCAATCATTGCCCATGCTCCACTGAAGGGTTCTGTAAAGGAGTATCTTTAGACCAAGATGAAGTGGAGTAAACTGAAGTTTAAAGCTGATTTTAATGTTGTTATAACTTTAATTAGACTGTTGTTTGATCACTTTTGCCCTTTAATTTCATTCATTTCCTTAATGTCTTCTTTCATTAGATTATTTATATCTAGATATCTTTTTCCACTTATTTCCACTAGCTATATATTTTAAGGACATGAACAAGTTTTAAAAAAACAAACCATATATATTTACTTAAAGTCCCAACATGCCAGAATGAATGTTAAATTTAGAGTCATAAGTACTTTCATTAATGAGCATTTTTTAACCAAAAAGTATTCAAATTTGTCAATTCTGGTGACCATTTCAACCTTACATTGGTTTCTATACATTTCGAACAACATTAAAATATTACATCTATTTGACTTTTTAGATATATCTGGTCAGTATAATTATTTCTTGTGTCCTTTGAATGAAATGGGTGCATGTTTGTTAAGATTTTTTCCAGTGCCAGATTTTTGGTTTAGTATTTATTTTAAATTATTTGTAAATAGGGGTACTATAATCTTTTCAGTGCTAAGCCCTCAGGGCCTTTAACAGTCTCAATACGACCCTGCATGAACTCCTGTGAATGTTGTACATATTGTAATATTGCCTGTAAAAAGCTGATCCATGCATTAGGTTACTACAGGAGATTTATGAGTGTCTTATAATACAAAATTACTGGATTAAAGGGCGTGGGATTTGTGGCCTGTGTAAGGGCCCCAAGATAATTTGAGAAATCATACCTATTACTGGTATACCAGGGCTATTCAAACGCCCACATTGCAATATGGTCATACATTGTCATCATTTCCATCTGCCCGTCTGTCATCTACAATTGCCTGTGGATGCTCGAGAGGCTAAAGTTATTATCCGATTGACTATCAGAGTTATTGCCCTTTCGATATTCGCGCATTTCAGACCATAATTTACTGGATTATGGCCCTTGATTGTTAAAAAAATCACAGGTTTTTTTTAGTCTGTTCTCTATCCATCTCTTGCAAAATGTGGGCGTATCGTGCATGACAACCGCTGGTTAGTGTCTTGTGAATGCTTCCATTACTCACAAAAGATTAAAATGCGACAACTTTTGCAGACTACTTGGGCGACTTAGCTATAGTGGGTATATGTTTCATTGCCTGGCCACACTGCCTATAATATCAAGGGAACATCAGACAACAACCAAGCAAAACATGAGCTATTAAATGCTAACTATTTCAAAGTATTCACATCTTCCCATAAAATACATTACACATATTTCTTATGGATCTTCTTGAAAAGGTTATACAGTTATACAGGTACGAAAATCTTTCCAAAAGAAGCAACGAGTAAAATTAGAAGCATGGGTAAATTAATTTTCAGATGATGTCATTTACATGTGGTTGAGTGGTGGCTGATTATTTGGTATGAATGTATATTTTATATTTGTGTTAAAACAGAGGCAGAAGGTAAAGAGGTTGAAGCAGAGATGAATAAATTAGGTCTTGGTGAAGCACTGTTTATACCATGTGATGTATCGAACGAAGAAGAAATAAAGGTATGGTAAGACAGGAAATGAATAAATAAATGTAGGCGCGATTCCAGAGAGGTAGACCGAGGGGTCCAGAACCTCACCTGCTCACACAGAGCATATTTTTCTCCTACATTGTCACTGCTTTGACTTCACTCCACTCTAATCCTATATATGTACATGCATGCACCTAAATGAACAGAAATATTGTCTCAAATCTTCTGATTTTATCAAATTCTCTGGTAATCCCTCAGACTTCATACCAAGCTTGACGATGTCTCCACCCTGGATGCCCACTGCACAAATTCCTAAATTCCTGGACACACCCCTGCAATACCACTAATCAACACAGCATGTTGTTTTTTTATTAGTTTGGGGGATCCCTGATGTTCTACCTTTTTCCTGATCCTCCCACCATCTATATATAGATCAAGACTTTACAAAGATATCTTCCATCTGTCAACCATACAGTTTTTCTTTAGTTAACAGAGGGGGGTTGGATGGCAGAATGGTTAGCGCGTGAATATATTGAAGATTTCATTCAAATTACTTTATAGTAAGCAAAGTTATGAGTATTGGAAGATGTAGCGTAGATTGTTTATTATCGTAACTGTCCTGATTATTCATTTCATTGTTAAATTTTTTAATCGTGCAGGCATTCTAATCCATTTAAATCTCTGCCATCTGATGTTCTAGAGAGTTGATTATAAGACTTGTCATGTTAATAAATGTCTAAATAATAGTTTATATAACATTTGAAGCCTAAATAAAGACGTGCAATATAGCTCTTACATAATGCATCTTTAAATAGAAAAATAAATTAAGAGACTGTTACATCCTTACTAGAAGCCTGTTCAAGCATGGGTACAGTTACACACACTTGTATTCATTAATATGTGTGATTCATATTAATTTTATATGTAAGCTTGACATACTTTAAAAATCTAATATACATGTAATTGTACAGGCCAAACCAATCTGTTGCTAACATAGGACAAAGCCTGTTGAATTTCAACAATTTCAAGCATGGGTAAAGTTAAACACACTTGTATTCATTAGAGTTGTATGTCATCTTCCATTGTGATTCATATTAATTTTATGTGCAAGCTTGACATACTTTAAAAATCTAATATACATGTAATTGTACAGGCCAAACCAATCTGTTGCGAACATAGGACAAACACAAAGCCTGTTGAATTTCAACAATTTCCGTTAATTAATTCTAGAGTTGTTGTCCTTGTTTCACATTGTAGAATCTTGTGAACACTTAAACAACAGTTTGCACATGAAATTTGTATTTATTATTCAGATTAATGAAATGAATAAACCTTTTGAATTTCAACAATCACTGTTTTAACAGTAAATTCATGTTCTTTGTTTTTATACTCCCACATTGAAATGTGGACGTATATTGCCGTCGCCCCCGTCCGTCTGTCGGTCCGTCCGTCCGTCCATCGTCCACAATTTCTTGTGAACGCTCTAACGCCAAAAGTTATCATCCAATTGTTTTAAAATTGATGTATGTTGTTTACATTAGTGAAACAAAGAAGCCTATTGAATTTCAATAATTTCTGTTTATTATGTCTAGAGTTATGGCCCTTGTTTCACTTTATTGAACCTTGTGAACGCTCTAACTCCAAAAGTTATCATCCGATCTTTCTGAAATTCATATGCATTATTTAAATTAGTGAAACGAAGAAGCCTATTGAATTTCAGCAATTTCTGTTTACTACATCTAGAGTTATGGCCCTTGTTTCACTTTATTGAACCTTGTGAACGCTCTAACGTCAAAAGCTATCATCCGATCTTTCTGATATTTATATGCATTATTTAGATTATTGAAACGAAGAAGCCTATTGAATTTCAGCAATTTCCGTTTATTATGTCTAGAGTTATGGCCCTTGTTTCACTTTATTGATCCTTGTGAACGCTCTAACGTCAAAAGTTATCATTCGATCTTTCTGAAAATTATATGCATTATTTAAATTAGTGAGACGAAGAAGCCTATTGAATTTCAGCAATTTCCGTTTATTACGTCTAGAGTTATGGCCCTTGTTTCACTTTATTGATCCTTGTGAACGCTCTAACACCAAAAGTTACCACCCAATCTTTGTGAAATTTATAGGCATGATTTAAATTAGTGAAACGAAAAAGCCTATAGTATTTCAACAATTTACAATAAATACTTCTAGAGTTATTGCCCTTGTTTCACTTTGTTAAATCTTGTGAACACTCTAATGACAACAATTATCATCCGATATGTATGAAATTCATATGCATAATTTAAATTAGTGAAACGAAAAAGCCTATAGTATTTAAGCAATTTACAATAATTACTTCTAGAGTTATTGCCCTTGTTTCACTTTGTTAAATCATGTGAACACTCTAATGACAACAGTTATCATCCGATATGTATGAAATTTATATGCATCATTTAAATTTGTGAAACAGGTCTATTGAATTTCATCAATTTCCGTCAATAATTTCTAGAGTTATGGCGATTGTGAACGTTTCAATGCTAAAAGTGATAATGTGACCTGTATGAAATTTATATGCATTATTTAAATTAGTAAAACAAAGAAGACTGTCAAATTTCAACAATTTCTGTAGATTACTTCCAGAGTTGAGACCCTTGTTTCAGTTTGTAGAACCTTGTAAACCCTCAAACGACAAAATTTATAATCTGATCTGTATGGAACTGTCTTGTAAAGGCCCCCAATTACCTACAAAGGAATAAATATGCGACAACCCTTGTCGACCGCTCGGACGATTTAGCTGCTGTGGGCGTATGTTTTGTTGCCTGGCAACTTATCTTTACTAATTCTGATAACTAGAGAGTTATTGCCCTTGATTATTGTCATAAACCTTTATGGACAGCTTGGACAACTTATCTGCTGTAGACAGATGTTTTCTTTAAAAGAAAAAATCAAAAACTCGTTCAGTTGCCACTCCACTCTAGCTGTTTGTTCTTTTAGAATATGCCGTCTTCATTAGCCCAGTCACTCATTTCATTTCCTAAAATATGAAAACTGGTTTATTTTTGATGATGTTAAATTTCATATTTCAGAATTTAATTGAGAAGACAGTAGCCAAATATGGTAGAATTGATTGCCTTGTCAATAATGCAGGTTATCGTAAGTATAAATAACCGTCTCTTTATATACAGATATAACTGAAACGATGTAAAAGTAGATCAGTTCTTGGTTTTTACCATCTTTATTAGCCCTGTTGGTGCAGAAAAGTAGGATGTTAACCCCATTTCATTTTATTTCAATTAGGGTGTGAAGGAAGTAACTATAATGAGTTGTGATATTTGCTGGTCACATTCCAAGAAGACTTTGTTCTGAACTGGTTATAGCACAAGATATTACCTTGCTTTGACCTTACTGAATGGCGAAGTGGTTTAATGTCTGGCGTAGGCTTGTTATGTATGACAGTCAAGAGTTGGATCCAGAGTTCACACATAACGAGTGGGGTCATAAGGTCACCTGTCTTAACTTTGCAGGATTTGTCAGGTCTCTCCACACTTCAAAATACTAGTGAATTATAAAAATAGAAATATTCAGAAGTCCCAAAATGACCTTGTTAGTGTTGAGTTGTCTCTCCCTCTCTCTCCGTGCAGACAATATCGTTGTCAAAAGGATAAATATCTTGTGCCAATTGTATTTTCATTGATTGTTGTTTTCTGTATAAAACAGCTGATGTAGCAGTGATAAACCAAGAAAAATGTCTGTCATCTGCTTATTTACAATTTGTGTAATTGTATTTTTTCAGATCCTCCTCACATGCCAATAGATGACTTTAGTTCAGCAGATTTTAGAGAATTATTAAATGTTAATCTTGTTAGTTACTTTATAGCATCAAAAGTAAGTATACACACATACACAGTAGAGAAGTCTGATTAAAATACAGATCTATATTTTTGTCCCCCGCCTTTTGAAGAAAGCAGGGGACTATTAAAATGGGTTCGTCCGTCTGCCTGTCTGTCCGTCCGTCCGTCACACTTTTAGGGACACAATAACTCTCCTAATTGCGCTAGAATGTTGAAACTTGGTGTGGGTGTTTACTAGGTTGATACCTTGATGAAGTTCGAAGATGAGCATTTTCTGCTTAGGGTAAGCAGAGATAAACAGCTTGATTGGTTGATGCTTTGGGACACGATAACTTTAGTTCTAATTAAACATACATTATGCAAGAGCTAAATCTGCCTATTGTAGGTCTTTCTTTAGGCCTGAAATGTTATATAAACTATTAATTAGACATTAACTAATGTATCCAGACCATAATCAACTCTTGATGCCAACGCTAGCCTGCTATAATTGCTGGATTGCCTTTACATTATCTAGTTTTTAACTATTATAGTAAGAACTGCCAACTCGTTACCGAATCTCCCATAATGTATCTTTAAGTGAGAGTGATGAAACTCTGAGTATATATTCATTATATCATTACCTTGACTAAGTTCGATCATGAGAATTTTCTGCTTAGGCTAAGAAGCAATAAGTAATTTGATTGGTCAAGACTTTGGAACATAACAATTAAGGTAGAATGTTTAAACTTGATGTAGATGTTCATTAGGTGAATGTCTTGACTGAGTTCAATGATTAACATTTTGAGCTAAAGCTAAGCAGAGCTAAGAAATTTCATTGGTCGATGCTTTGGGACAAGATAACTTTGATTCTATCTGATAGAGAGTGATGAAACTTAGTGTATAGTTGATAATCTGTTTGATTGCTTGATACTTTTGAAAAAAAGTAAATGTGCGATTAATTAATATGTTTCGGCGGGGGCCATCAGCCTCACTGTTGGCTTGTTTATACTTTTAATGGCCTCCATTACATGAAGATTTGACGAGTTGAAGTGTGGAGGTCGTGTCAGGAGTCATACAAGCTGGTTTTTTGGCTTAATGACGACAGCTATTTGATTAACCAAACAGCGTCAGTGTTTTAAGTGGGTATTCGGAAATACAACTCTTGCTTTGATTAAATTGATTTGTTTTCTATTGCTGCAAATGTTAACCAACAGTTCTGAGTGCCAGAAAATAAAAACTTGACTCAATAAACCATTTGATTGGCTAATCCCTCACATCAACCAGAACGTGGGTTATTTATCATATCTTCCCGATCGTGGAGCAATGAATACAAGTAAATGAAATTTTGAACTGTAATAAATGGAATGAAATAGGATCTGTGTTTTAATCAAATTGACAGTGGAGTCACACTACTGTTCAAATCACTGTTTTATAAATGCAACAGGTTTATAAATATATAAGTAGAGAGGCCCTCGGAATGATACAATTTTTTTTTATATTGGTTGTTTATGTTGTGGGGCCTATACAAGCAAGTAGTTGCAAATTTGTCAGATCTGATCTTTATCCAAACTAATATTTGAATATAAATCCTATTAAATGGAAACGTTAATCTCCATGCAGTGCTTTAAGCCATTTTTCTTGTATCTTGTATTTGGCCGAATCAGTTGGCACCGAAATTCGCCTAATGTGTACAGTGTCATTCGGCTGAATGATTCGCCCGAATGAAACATGTTTGATATGTTCGCCTATATTGTTTGAGATGCAATCGACTGGTGAATCGGTTTTAGGATTCGCTTGATGTGTCCACTGATTGATTTGACTAGACTTAAGATCAGTCAAATATCTTATCACATTATCAGATATAACTCTCATTCTGCACTCAGAGAACTAGATCTCTGTCCTGAATGGCTGCCATATTGAAAAAGTAGAGTACTTTTTTTATGCGATTCTTATATATTTTCAATTTCATTACACATGAAAATGAAAGAATAAATACTTCTTAGAATTCTCAAAGTATACTTAGTTTTACACATGAAAATGAAAGAATAAATACTTCTCAGAATTCTCAAAGTATACTTAGTTTTCTAGTCAAAATGGGAATTAAGATATTGGTTAACTAGCTTTAATTGTGTCTGTTCTTACTGAACAGTAGACAGAGAGCATAAGTTTTGTATGATATAAAGTCTGTGTGTTTTATCTTATTTATTTTGTTACAGTATGCCTTACCATATCTTAGAAAGGTTGAAGGTAATATAATCAATATGTCTAGCTTGGTTGGTCAGATTGGTCAGTTTGGAGCAGTTACTTATGTTGCCACAAAGGTAAGATCATTTAAATAACTTTATTCTACTGTATTTAGTTTTAGTTTTAAGAGTTTAGCACCATAGTAGTTGTATGAACCCATGATGGGGACAGGTTTCGCTAGTTAGTTCTCACCGAATTATTTGCCAGACAGCCTAATTTATCGATGACAGCATTCTGATAGGGAAACCATTCAGCATGCACCATACTAATTTCTTGTTCATGACTCGTCACTGATGTCTTGTTTGTGTTGGTATATCGTGAAAGAGAACTCTCCATCACCTTTATGATTACTTGGTGGGTTTATTTAAGCGATGACCGATACACAGACTGGTGTATACAGACATCTAAATAATGGCCATCCAAGTGCTTAAACAGTCTTCTTTTGAAGAATAAAGCATATGGTATATGTATTTGGAAATAAATGTTATCAGGCTACTGCTTACTCCTATTACGAGTTATTCTACGTGCATGTCAATGTGCATACAGGACCTCGTTTTTTTGTCCCATCTCAACGTAAGCCATTACCAGGCCCTCCGTTCTGCACCACTGACAAGGAGAACCATGCTTGGGAAATCCTGATGACCATTCTAGGCCAACACTAGATCGAAACTGAGACAGCAAGGTTAGAATGCCACTGAGCCACCACGGGTCGCATACACTGATTGTCTATATAGTATAGATAATAGAACCCTGTATGTTTTTGGTGTATTTATTACAATTGTATGGATAGTTTTTTTGTTTAGATCTCTTCTACAAGATCAATAAATTCTTTGTTTTTTTTCAGGGTGGAATAAGTGCTATGACAAGAGCTTTATCAATAGATGAAGCTAAATATAATGTTCGAGTTAATTCGTAAGATCATTTTACCTTATATCTCTTATATTCTTGTGGATTTATAGAATTACAAGGAATAAATAATATCCAAGTTGTTTGCTAATATATGAGTTAGAGCCTTTACAAAGTGTAATATTGCCAATGGGTGGTACATCATATGGGATTTCAGGCACTCTATATAAGGGCATTCATTATAACATTACATTACTTAGTCCAAACTTACGTCTACTGTTAGATAACGATATCTAGAGGTCACAATTTTTATCCAGTTTATATGAAACTTGAAATATATATTTATAACCCAAAGATCTTGGTTCCTTTCGATATTCATGCATATCGGACAGCAACTTCCTGGATTATGGCCCCTGATTGTACAAAAAAAAACGTGTTTTAAGCTTGTGGTCCCCCTAGAGGTCACAATTTTTATCCGATTTGAAAAAAAACGTTCAAATATATCACCATGGCTGCTCTATGTACGCAAATAGTGTAAAAGTGTGTTATACCAAGGTTGTGGACCCTTTAGAGGTGACAATTTTTATCCGATCTCGATGAATCTTAAAATATATCTTTATATCCAAAAGTTCTCGGTTCCTTTCGATATTTGTGCATATTGGACACTAACTTCCTGGATTATGGCCCCCGATTGTACCAAAAAGTGCATTTTTTTTTTCACCTTGTTTTCTGTCCATCTATTGCAAAATGTGGGCGTATCTTGCATGGCAACGGCTTGTAACGTTATATTATTAAATTGTGCTGGTGTTCTAATCCAATTAAAATAATGGCTATCTAATGGTCAATAACATTTGAAGCCAGAAAAAAGACTTGCAATAGGCATATTCAGCTCTTATATAATGCAATTTTGTTTGTAATGTGTAGACTGTTGAATGTTTTTATAGGTTATATAAATGTATTTATTTTCTTTAAATATTTGTTTACCAGAGTGTCTCCAGGAAATGTTTGGACTCCCATGTGGGATTCTGGTGCTCAAGCCACACCAAATCCTGAGAAAACCATTGAAAATGGCGCCAATAGTCAGGTTAGATTTGATAATTTATTGAACAAGAAAGAATCTACCATATCAAAGTAAACCCAAGTTCTTAGCTATTAATTGACATTTGATACACATGGGCTTAATTATAATGCTGATGTAGGAGTCAACTGGAATAGTTAGACCTATGAAATAGATAGACCCCTTCACCATGCGATACACCTGTCAGGATTTATGAGGACTCCCTGCTCATACTAAAACCTTGCTTAATAAAAAATAATACTTAAAGATACATTATGGGAGATTAGATAAAGAACTGGCAGTTCTCACTATAATAATAGCAATCTGATTAAAACACAGATCCTATTTCGTTTCGTTTTTTATAGTTCAAAATTTATTTCGTTTTACTTGTCTTTACTAGACTAGGATCTGGAAGAGAGAGAGAGAGAGAAATGAGGTTTGACGTCCACTCGACACAAACTAGGTCATTTCGGGACTAACATATGGTTCAATCTTATTTCCATAATTTGATTGCGCGTAGGGGTCTTTAGCAGTAGGAGGAAACCGGAGGACCCGGAGAAAACCCACGAGGTTGGACAGGCGACCCTACTCCTTGTCACGTACAACCGGGGATTCGAAACCACGCCAGTTGACTCAATGACAGACTTAATGATACAGCGCGCACTTGCTAACCACTAAGCCATCCAACCCCCCTAGGATCTGGAAGAATTGTTATCATTGACGTGTTCTGGATGATGTGACGGTTTAGGCAATGAAATGGTCTGTTACAGCGAGCTTTTTGCGTGTGGTGCACAGAACTGTGGGTAATCCACTAGAAACATCAATGCTGATTGGTTAATCAAATTTCTGGCGTCATGGGGTCAAAAGCCGCTCGTATGACCTCTAATGCAACCTATCACTACAACCGGTCAGATCTTCAGTTAGTGTAGGCCTTTGAAAGTATAAAAAAAAACCCAAACGAAATATAGATCTGTATTTTAATCTGATTGCTATAAATAGTTAAAAACTAGATAATGTAAAGAGAAATTGCTAAAAATTTCAGTCAAATTGATCCACTCTAAACCGAGAATTGGGTGATTGAATTTTAGGTCATCATTACTAAAGTCAGTATGATAAACAACATAGTATTGATTATCCATTTTCATACGCCCACATTTTCATGTGGACGTCGCCCCTGTCTGTCCACAATTGTTTGTGGACACTCTACAGGTCACAATTTATATCTGATTTCAACGAAACTTGAGATATAGGTTTATCTCCCTATTGGCATGTAACGGACCGTAACTTCATGGATTATGACCCCTAATAATCATGTCTTTCCTGAATTATGGCCCCTGATTGTACGAAAAATCGCGTTTTTAGCTTTGGTTCCTCAAGAGGTCACAATTATTATCTGATTCAAAAAAACGTTCGAATATGTCATCGTAATTACACCGTATTGTTGGTTGAGTTTGAATTTCATGACAATCGGACCAAAACTGGCAGACAAAATTGCCACCCTCCATACGCAAATAGTGTAAACATCTGGTATATCAAGGTTGTGGACCCTACAGAGGTCAGAATTTTGATCCGATTTTGATGAAACTTGACATGCATGTTTATAACCCAAAGATCTTGGGTGCTTTCGATATTCGCGCATATCAGATCGTAACTTCCTGAATTATGTCCCCTGATTGTACGAAAAATCTTGTTTTTAGCTTGTAGTCCCTCTAGAGGTCACTATTATTAACTGATTTAAAAAACTGTTCGAATATATCACCGTTACACTGCAATGTTGGTTGATTTTGAATTTTGTGAAAATCTGACGAAAACTGCCAGACTACACAAATAGTGTAAACATCTGGTATATCAAAGTTGTGTTCCCTCTAGAGGCCATAGTTTTGATCCGATTTTGATGAAACTTTAAATTTATGAACGTAACTTCCTGGATCATGGCAAATGATTACACGAAAAATCACGTTTTTAGCTTCTGGACCTTTAGAGGTCACATTTATTTTCCGATTTTAAAAAATGTTTATACGTATCACCGTTGCACCCTAAAGACGGTTGAGTTTGCATTTCGTGAAAATCGAACCGAAGCTGCCTGACAAAATAGCCGCTCCTTGTACGCAAATAGTGTAAAAGATTGTGGACCCACTAGAAGTGACAATTTTGATCAAATTTTGATGAAAAATAAAATATATGTTTATGTCCCAAAGTAGTCGGTTCCTTTCGCTGTTTGCTGGATTATGCCCCATAATTTACGAAAAATCGCATTATTAGCATGTGGATCCACTAGAGGTCACAATTTTTATCTAATTTAAAAAAACGTTTAAATATATTACCGTTACACCATAATGATGGTTAAGTTTCAATTTAAAACAGCCGCAAATAGTGTAAAAGTGTGTAATACCAAGGTTGTGAACCGTCTAGAAGTCACATTTTTTATCTGATTTTGATGAAACTTAAAATATGTTTATATCCCAAAGATCTAGGCTCCTGTAGATATTCACGCATATCAGACCATAACTTCCTGGATTATGGCCCCTGAATGCACGAAAAATCACTTCATTTTTTGAGCTTGTTCTCTGTCCATCTCTTGCAAAATGTGGGACGTATCATGTATGGCAACCGCTTGTTTCGACAAGGTATTTAACCAATTTCTTTACTTGTTTTTCACTTTCAAATTACTTTTTTTTTAAACAGTTAATGGGACGGTATGGCACTCTGGAAGAGAGTGGTACAGCTTGTCTATTTTTAGCAGCAGATGCTACTTTTTGTACTGGTATTGACCTAAATCTTTCTGGTGGAGCAGAACTCAACTATGGCATCAAAACAATGCGAGGGGAAAAGGAACTACCATTTTAATAATAGGGTTCAATCTCTCAGATATTGATCAGTATTTTAAACTAAATAATGCGTGAAGTCTTTAATGACATTGTTTTCTTAATTGCTGAGGACAAAGATTGAAGCAAATTTTAGGAGCACAAAGGTTACTTTTTAATAGAAATTGTTAGGGTAAATGTTATTTGTTATTTTTGATTTGAATCCAAGTGATAATGTAAATTATTAGATACTGTATGATGGTGTGTATGCATGCTCTATGTTTTGTCTATATTTGAGCTTTGGATCAGGCAACTTATATACAGCAAGTATACAAGTATTGTTTGTTAAAGTCTTCCTTTTAATAATATTATAAAGTTTATATTATATATTTTGAATATACAGATATTTTTATGCAACAGAATTTTGGAATGATAATATTTATAAAGTCATGCATCTAAAACACAGAATACCTTAAACTGTAATTCGGGTATCATTTACTCTTGATTTAAAATCACCAAAATTCATCTAATTTGTTTTTGTGTCCAGTTTAAAGCTGACCATTCAATTTTGATAACGAGTGTCCAATTTACAAGCGTTTAATTTCTCGATCACTATTAAAAAAATAAACAACCCAATTGATTATTGATGTATAATGATTAATTTTTGAACAGTAGTCAGGAAATTAAATACTTATAAATTGAACACTCATTATCAAAATTAATCAGTCAGTTAGCTGGACACAAGTACAAATTAGATGAATTTTGGTGATTTTAAATGATTTTTACGAATTTTTAAACAAAGATTTGATATTAAACGAATGTGAAAGAAATTAGTGCTAGATACACAAGATTAAATGATACACTGGTTACAGTATTATGGATTATAGCAAAGCCTGGAAATAAGGTACAAATTCAGACTCTTTCATGCACTAATTTTCTAGTGCCTGCCATTTTGCCAGTCACAGATTTTTCTATTTTATATAATTGTTTTTATATAGTTAATACTTGTTGGGCAGTAAAGTAAAAACAGTAAAGTACCACTTTTGCAATGATTATTTCCAGGTCTGATTAGAGCATTGTGTTTTGAATGAAGTTCATTGTCTTTTGTTAGTTTAAAGGTGACAAGTCGCTAACTCAATGATATATCATCCACAGTCTTGAACATTGCAAACACAACTTCTTTGTCAATTTAAATCAACATTGATGTTGTTAGCTTACCATGAAAAGATGGGCTTCTGATATCCAATATTTAAGACAAAAGCCAAACCATTCAGTTTGGACTCTTCGAATATTTCGCTGAACATAACTGATTAGAAATTACAGTAAAAACAGAAACGATTGAATGTAATCAGTTTATATACATTCATATTACATTATTCTATGCATTCTGACCTATTTGTGTCCCATTTCTAGTTGCTATAGAATCGCAATTTAGCACCTTTAAACTGACTTTAATATTGTTTTGTCTTGTTTAACACACAGGCTTTATAGTCATCATCAAAAATTATGTAAATAACTTTATTTATCTGTTTGTAATTTATAGGGTGGGTTAGATGGCCGAATGGTTAGCACGTGCGCGCTGTATCATAAGGCCTGTCATTGAGTCAACTGGCGTGGTTTCGAATCCCCGGTTGTACGTGACAAGGAGTAGGGTCGCCTGTTCAACCTCGTTGGTTATCTCCAGGTCCTCCTGTTTCCTCCCATTGCTAAAGACCCCTACACGCAAGCGTATTATTGAAATAAAATTAAACCACATGTTAGTCCCGAAATGACTTAGTTTGTGTCGAGTGGACATAAAACCCCATTTCTCTCTCTCTCTCCTTGAATTATAATATAGCTTCAATTTTATAATATTAACTTTGTTAATCATTGTTGTGTGTGTGTGTGTTTTGGCTGTTAATTTTTAAAATTAAATTCGTATATTTTTTAATTTGCATGAATCTTTATTTATATCTATGTATTTTATCTAGTCAATTTTGAGCAAATTATTTAGGAATCATATTTATTATACTGTCCATTTAAATTCAATATTCACTTATAAATTGATCCTATATTGCCATTATTTAAATTAGGCTGTCAACATTGATTCTGGTCATGGTTTTATTTTGTTACTGGGTTATGCCCCTTAGTCCAAAAACATCAAAAATTTGGGGATGCTCGATTGTCAGTCTGGAACGATCCGAATTGAGTAGGATGGAATTCAGTCCTGTCACAGTTATGTCAGTCCCGACAACGGAGGCAGTGTGTGTAGAATCGTGACGTAATTAAACACAACGAAATATGTTTCAGCTATCATGGTTGGTTGAGATATTATCTTATGTATTTGACGCATGTGTTGTTGCACGAAATCCCCCTTTTCACTTGATTGTCACTTTTTTTTTGGGATTGAGAAAATTCCATTCCAGAACGTTATGGAGTATCCCCATTGTGTAAGGTCAAATTCCTTGGATAACTTTGGTCTGTTATTTATTGTTGTAAAAAAAAAAAATTAATATTAAAAGATTTTACTTCGTTTATTTATTCTTTGTTCACAGGCCGTGGGTCTGGCAACTTAAATGTTGCCCAGATTTTCGGGTGTGACAAAAAACTGTGGACCACCCATTGGCATTTGATGAAGAATAGGCCAAAATGTTGCTGCCTGTGCAAAATTCTTCTCCATAACATGTGACCACAGCATAAAAATAACATTATGTCATGATCTCAAAATGACCTGGTTAAAAATGAATTATAATTTATTTATGCAGTGTAACAAAACTGGATGTTTAACAGTGCCGACTGGCCACATGCTTTTTGTAGGGTGTGAGGCTTTTTAAACTTATCATCGTTTCAAAAGAAGTTCTGTAAACATTAAAACTATCTAGATGTGGTTTGGTGAACATTTTCAGAAAGTTTGGGGTGTAAATGAGTGGCAATTTACAAATTAGATATCTGATATCTTTATGTGTTCAATGCTATTTTAATGGATAATGTAATTATTATATAGGGGGTATGGGTGGTCTTGAGTGTCACACTTGAGGCTTCAAGCTCTAGCTGGCCAGTCACCTCTGGCTTGCAGTCTTGGTTTCCGTCCATGAAGTGAGCATATGTGGCTTGGAAAAGGGGCGCCTTCTCAACTGCATGGGTTTACTCAGGGTACTCTGGTTTCCTCCTACAGAGGAAAGGCCCCTGGGCGTGCACTTAGATAAAGATAATAAAAAAGAAGACGAACTTGTCTGTGATATCACCTCGGTGGAAGCGAGGCCTACATATATGTACCGGTAATAGAAAGAAAAATATTATTATTTATTTTCTTGGTTATTCTCATGATATTTACATACAAAGTATTTGTACTGAGAAGCGCTGTAACAAGGAATGAAGACTAAATTTATAGTTTTGTTCTGCTTCCAAATAAGACGAAAACAAGGTGGTCTGATTTCTACATTTCTACACAAGTTGTGTCCCTTCCCTACAACAGCTGAGCACCCAAGACGATTTATGCTCAAAAGGGTTAAAGAGAGAGAGAGAGATGGGGTTTAACATCTACTCGAAACAAACTAGGTCATTTCGGGACTAACATATGGTTTAATTTTATTTCAATAATTGGCTTGCGCGTAGGGGTCTTTAGCAGTGGGAGGACCCGGAGAAAAACCATGAGGTTGGACAAGGTACCCTACTCCTTGTCACGTACAACCGAGGATTCGAAACCACGCCAGTTGACTCAATGACAGGCTTTATGAAAATGATACAGGGCACACATGCTAACCATTCGGCCATCCAACACCCCAAAGGGTTAAAAATTTCAACCCAAAATGACATATTTGATACTAAGAATGTTCACATTATAAGGGGAACTATTGACGGATTTGGCGTAATCGTGCTTTCGCGTGGGAAAGATATATATAGGCCTATAATAAATTAATAAATAAATTTGCAAAAGAAGAATTATGTGGAAGGGACGCAACTCCATGTAATAATGGACCATTGACAAAAAAATCATACGGCCCACCACATTTAATGAAAGAAAATGATAGGAACTCACAATCTGTTTCACAGAATTACGAGTCTCGTATAATATCTCTGTCATAGATGACTGCCTTAACACGTGCTGTCACAGCACGCGGTGTGAATCATTGGCTGAGTGGCGCGTGCATTGTTTACATAAGACATAACTGCTTCGGAGAGAATGCTGCATTTTAGTCATTTTAATACCCATTTACACAAAATCGGAAATAATTTTTACCTACAAATACGTCAAACGCCTTTATTTATTTTTCCAATATATACAAAAAATGTTTTAGAATTTAATTTGTCGCAGGAAAAAAGTTAATATTTCTAGCTCATTAAGTCGCATCAATGTCATCCTTATCAGTGATTGTCGCGGCCAAGCAAATATTCACTGCGGATCAGTGTGAGGAGCTCATTCATTAATAAGTATCATGTTAGTATTAAATGAGTATTTCAAGTGCAGGAGGACCGCACCGCACATAAAAACCGAACAGAAAACCGGAGGCACAACTCAACACGGGCAGCCATGCATGGCTATTGTATTAATGTATTTTATGAATAATTAAGTACCACAAGTATATCAAATTACAGAACTATACAATATGTGATCAGATCAAGTAAACAAATCCTTTAAACAGTAGGATGTTAAACCACCCAACCATTCAGATCCTGTTGGTAATAAATCTGTTTTCAAACCATTGCACAATCGCAATTCAACGGGGGATGTCAAAGAACACATGGGTACGTAACACTTTATAAATACTTTTTGGCGTGGTAATCTTTCATTTTTTATTAATAAAACGAATTAAATTCATGCGTACGAAATAATTGCTCAAATGTATGGGTGTTAAAATAATTAGGTCATCTACTATGCTTTTGGTCAAATGTTTTAAAGAAAGGTTAAAATTGGGTCTGGTTTACCTGGCTTCATATTAGAATACCCCTGTGAATCGATTTAACATACTGCGCATGCGCAGTTTTCTGAGAGAAAATTACTTTTTTAGGGACATTATGTGCAGAAGAAAAGCCAATAAAACCAATCAAAAAAATGTCCCAGGAGCTTTAAAACGAGCTACATCTACTATGTAAATTACTCCACCAAAGACCCAACGTTTCGAATCCACCGTAAGTATGCAGAAAATAGAAAATAATTAACTATAATTGTGAAGTAACTGAGACCGGCACTTTTCCACTCTGACTTTTTTCCACTCTTTTGGAATTATCTTTTGCTTCTAAAGACTGATTAGATATACCTTGTAATTTTTTTATGTATAGGAAAACATATTATCTGAACGACATACTTATCTGATGATGTAATTGTAAAATCACCTAGTTTAGATCTAAGCCAAGTTGTAGTTTAAACCATAAATAAAATTTGAGTCAATTCTTGTCACATGACACACACACATGTCATCATAAGATCAATGGTAGGGTGACCCATGCACCTACAGAAATACAGTCAACCGCTGATAGTTCGAGACTACCACTGAAGCGTGCACATTCGCCGTGTCGAGGCCAACTTTCTGACAGTATGATAATATAAATAGCCATGGCACGTGCAATTCTCTACAAATCTATCAACTATTACAGCCGTAAAAAATTTATTGTTGACGATTTTGAATAGCAGTAAAATTAAGCTTCTTGGTTATTACAGCAGATTTAGAAATTACGTTCGTTTCATTTTTTAAATCGCTTTATCATTAACTGTACCGTTAAGAGCGGCATCTTTTGGTTTAGTACAAATAATATCTCTGAAACACTCGGGTTAGACAGGAACATGATACTAACAGTAGTTTCATTTTACTTTTACAAGCTTCTTAAAACAATTGTTGAGCTAGCTAACGTGCTCATTTCTAAATTCAATTTCTTGTTCTAGCTTTCTGTTATGTTTCGTAAAAAAGTAGTCTTGATTATCCCGACCTGTCAATCAGCCTTAGAATGGTCGATAGACTGGTTAAGCGAGACTAATTTCAAAACAAGGGCACGTAACCTATCTTTTACTCAAAAGTGTCTGGATGTTATGGACCACACATGGAACCAGTTTTCAGTCTATTATTTATAGATGATTAATGGTCATAGCTTATTAAGTACAACATGATCGTTTATTTAGTGACTATAATTGTGTAAAACTGATTTGAGGCTTGGCATATATATAAATATTGTGGCGAAATTGTCGAGATATATGGAGATATTTATTTATGGTGGGTCACCCTATCAATGGCAGTTAAATTCAAGCCAGTTGAATGAAATACTAATAGTAGCCTAAAAGTGGCTCACTTTTTACATTATCAATAGATTTACTAGACATAAGTGTTAATTATTTAAGAAGTGGTAATCTGAAACAGAAAAAGAATAATCCTTTCACTACTTTCAGTAAGGTTATAAATGTAATACTAATAGACTAGCCTATTTTTTTCTACGTCAAATCAGTGTTGTATCTTTTTGTGATAACATTTTTTTTATTTTTTTTTAATTACAACCCGATAGAATGTTTATTGTGTTTTCTCATTTATAGAATCTGTCCACCAATTTTTTCTATTATTATGTCAGGATGCTCTTTAAGTTCATGTATGTGCTGTGGGGAAAAGACGCTCTGTCGTTAATAATTGAGTAACTGCTGTCAATGTTACAACTTTGTCAACAACACTTCAGTCAGAGACGGCCTTTTATTAATGTTGCTGGTAGTGACTATTGACTATGCTTAGATCACAATATCATATAGTCTGTGGAAAGTTGTAACTTATGATATTCTTTACTGATAAGGAGTAGGATCCTCAAATTGATAGCTGTAACTATTCGCTTGATCTCTACGATCAATGAGCGTGATGACATCAGGGCAAGTTAATTAGGTTTTTTTAAATTATTAAGAAAAGTAGGACAAGTGCTGGAAGTAGGTATACCTGGATAAGAATATTTCCTATTTAGTGTAAATGAGTATGTAGAATAGTACTTGAATTACAGGACCCAAGCAAACTGTTGATATTAAAATATGCCATACTTTAGTTCCAGTTTGTGTTGATTGAGTGATAACTACCTCATGCTTGTGTCTCCTGTTCTTGAAACCTTAAAGGAGTTAAACTTATTTTATTTTGGTAAAAAATACAGTGTTAAATTGGGTTGATGTGGTGTTTCATTGAGTGATGGATTAAATATGTTTCGAGAGGCTAAGCGGAATTCGGCTTGTGTACTAATTTTATTTTGTAGTCTGTATTGTTGTCACCCCAGTCCGCCTGGCACCCACAAACACTTATGGACGCTTTAGAGGCTTAGGTTGATATCCAGTTGACTTTAAATTTATACACAATGTTTTATGGTCATGAGACGAAGAAGCTTGTCGATTTTCAACGATATTCAATAATTACTACCCAAGTTATGTCACTTGATCACTTTGAAATTAATATCCGATTGACTTTAGAAGATTATGGTCATGAGACAAAGACGCCTATTGATTTTCAACGATTTCTAATAATTACGACCAGAGTTATGGCCCTTGATTACTTAGAAAAATGTTGTGGATGACATAAAATTGGATAAAATGCCACTCAGCACAATTTAACTTCTCGTGTCATGTAAAACTGTGCATTATCTATTGTCCTTAACAACCCCCTCCACCGTTCACTTTCAGCTCATGGACAGCCCAGGAAAAAAAAAGTGCCCCTTAGATAGCAAATATATGAAATTACTCTTCTTATAATCTCTTAAAGGGACAATAACACTCTTGCTGGCTTGAAAGCTCCAGAAAATAAATAATATCTCTATCTATGTACTGGATGTTTAAGTGTCCTACCTGTTGTGTAAATTATCCATTACATCCTATTTTACTTGTCCAGAGGGTTCGAAAATATTTTTAAATCGAAGTTTCATTTGAAATGGTTTACGTTAGACGTTTCAAACCATTATGTTGAATTTTTCAAAAATTTTAAATAAGGTGTGTTAAGATGAAATTAGTATCATCAATTAATTGAAATATTCTAAAATAGTACAATTTGTTGACCAGAATAAAGATTGGGACATATTATTCAGTTACAATAAGAGTGGTTTTGAGCCTTTAAAACCAAATTTATGATTATTCAGGAGAGTTTTCATAAAAAAAATTAATCAGTATGTCATTCTCTGCTAATTTTGTCCTTGTACAGAGCCTGTTTGTCCACATGAGCCAATTTTATAAATTGAATATGACATAGTTTGTAGTTTTGTACATTGTAGGCTATTCCCTCATATCAAGATTCAAATTGTTCAGAAATGATTCAAGTGGTTGGAGGTGGACAAAAGCTTTCAATCACCTTTCGTTTTGACTTGAGTCCTTGAAATGATCAATTATTTGAGCCCTTGAAATGGTCACTTATTTGATCTATGGTGATATGGAACCCAGTGTAGAAGACCACCTTAAATTTTAAGCATTATTTTATTATATCTACTGCCTGTATATGGGGTCCGTGTCAAAACCCCCTTGGTCAAAACCCCCCTAGGTCATAACCCCCTTGGACTTAAATTAAAAGGGACAAAACCCCCCTTTTTATTTATTTTTTTTTATTAATTTATTTCATTTATTTATTTTTATTTTTAAAAAAATATTTGAAAAATAAAATATTTAAAAAAATATGATGACCAACTAAAACAATTGACCAAACAATTAACATAACATAAGCTGCTTTTTACTAGGAATAACATAGCCTCAATTATTGTAATCATTCAAGTGAAATGCAATTATCTGATCAATCTCAACTGAAGTCATGGCACTACAATTTAAAATCTCCTATACCACCCCTATTCCCTACAGAACTCTAAAACGTTCATCTGAAGACACTTGGTGGTGGGTCTCGCACTAACAATCTATGCGAGTCTTGGAACAGGGCGTTCAGATCCCTGCTGGGAATATCACACCCCACAATCTGGCTGGCTCGCAAACGTCTCTGTCTGGATCACAGCAATGTCAAGACTGCAGTCCTGCAATATTCACACGGACAACCACCAAAAATGCGAGTTCGTAAAACAACAAAAGATCTACAAGAAAGACTTTACAACTTGTGTGCAAACCCTAAAAGGTAGACTATTGGGCACACCATCTGATGGAAATAATTTCACCCATATAATTGCAAATGAAATATAAAAATAATTATTTTGTTGTGTACTTCACTTCAAAAACCACAAAATCATAATTTTGAAATGATTAATTTTATATAATATAAAAATAGTGTGTTTTAACCAGAGGGGGTTCTGACTTATGAGGTTTTTGACCGGAGGGGTTTTTGACCGTATCCCCTGTATATGATGTCACTTATAAATGTTAAATGTGACTTTGTTGTCAGAGATAAAGATTGCCGGTAATCACTTCTTGTATAATTTATTTTTTGGTTAAACCATGGTTAAACTAGTACAGATTTTTTCATAATCCAAGGCAGAGATTAATCTGATTTTTTTTGTGCTGTAAATAATAACATACATGTAGGTTTTATTCTTCAACAGAAATGAAATGAAATGAAATGGGGTTTAATGTCCTACTGTTCTGCTCCTAACCTGGGCTAATGAAGACGGGCATACGCCGTACAGTGTGCTATGAGGGAAATTTTGCCCGGGCAGCGGCACTATTGCCTACTCTTATATCGAATTCCAACTGCCAAGGGATCTTTTACGTGCATTCCAATGTATACACGGGACCTCGGTTTTTCGTCTCATCCGAAGGACTAGACAGCTGTTCTTGTCAGGCCCTCCGTCCTGCATCACCGACAAGGGGGAACCACGCCGGAAAATCTGGATGAACTTTCTCGGCCAATGCAGGGATCAAACACCCGACCTCCAGGCTAGCGAGCCAGCGCCTTACCCACTTAGCCACGTGGTATTCCTTTACAGACTTATCATTTTAGTAAAGTTGTATTGTAGAATTAATGTGTACAGTTGGTTGAGGATACATTTAATAACACAAACAGGTTCTGCAGTGAATGCTAAACAATCATTATGATCTCTGGACAACATAACATCATAATTATACGGATTAGGTGTGCTTATATATGAATATTTGTTCAGATTACACTGATAAGAGTTGTTCTATGTGTTCACCCTGGGCCAGTGCTACCATTAGGCCAAGTAGACCTACATAATGTAGATTCCTGAAATCTCGACCTAAGGCACAAGTCTCAGAAGAACACACTACTGATCTTAGGGGGTCACATTTTTATGCAATAGAAATGAAATGAAATGGGGTTGAACATACTACTGGGTTAATGAAGACGGGTGTACGCCAAGGGATCTTTTACATGCATGCCAATGTGTACACAGGACTTTGATTTTTTGTACCATCCGAATGACTAGACAGCTGTCCTGGTCAGGTCCTCAGTCCTGCACCACTGACAAGGAGAAACCACGCCGGAAAATCCTAGCCAACACCGGAATCGAACCTGCAACCTTTATACAAGCCCATCATGTAAACTGCCTTTTCTACAAACAGTGTTTTTCATATGGCCACTTTCCACTGTGGCTGTATTACATGTATGTCGTCACTCTGTCAGTTGGGGAACTTGATAAAGACTATAGTTTTTAATTGAATCTTTTCAAATTTGGCGTTAGTATTCATCATTCTACGACTTTCAGTTCCAGAGTTATCCATCCCCCATTTTGGCGAAAATATCAAATTTGGTGTACAGACTTCAATGATTTTCATTTCTTTGTAGACATTGATTGAGTTTGGTTGAACTCCCAATTTAAAATCTAAGTACAGTAAAAAATAAACTAGTATGTTTTCATGTACTATAATATAAATAAAGACAACCGTCCATAAGCTGTCTTTTTAAAATCAAAATAGAATTAAAATATTGATATGCCCAGTTTCAAACAGTCTTTCAGATATAGATTGCGGAAGACCCAATATTGCAATATTTGGATTTTTTCATTACAACCCAATTCATTAATGTGTAAGTATATGTATCTTATGTCCACACAATAAGAAAACAATGCTTGGACGCCCACTTTAAACAAACGATAAAATTTATTAGAGGTGGATTTGATGGGCGTTATCAATTGCTATTTGGTTTGTGGAAGACACAGTATTGCAATATTTTTAGCTTTCTTTGTATGTACATGTATCTCATAGGAACACTGACAAACAATAGGCATTATGAGAAAGTGAGTTGATCAACACTATCAATTCATAGATATATCAAATTAACATGTAGTGAGATAGTAGTTGATATCATGATATTGTGGTCTCTTATCAAGAGAGTAGAGTTTAAATGGTTAATAAACAAAATGGTAGAAAATGAGGTTGTAATTTGGAGTTAGAGGTAGTGTTTGCCATCCTATGTGATTCTGATACATGTATTTCTGTTATTGTGATATTATTTGATATGGTAAGTTCCTTGGTTGCTTATATTGATTATTAATATAACACAACATGTATATATGTATGACTTAGTATAATGAGATTTATAAGGTCATCTGTTTGACTCTTTCAAATTTATTTGTATCTGATTAGCCCAACCTGAGCAGAAAAGTAGAATGCTAAACCCCATATCATTTCATTTATTTGAAAGTATGATATACATGTAACCAGAAAAAAAAATCAAATTATAGACCAAATCAGCCAAATAAGCACAAATATATTTTACATGTACCAAGTGGCTATAGATTTCGATTGATTTAAAAGTGTTTAATATCGCAAATGTTGATACATTTTTGTCTAGTATTGATTTATTTAATATCATATGAATGTTGTGGATTAAATTGTGATAGATATCATTGAAAATATCCTGATGTCCTTTATCATACTTGAAGCAAAGATTACTTGAGTAGAATGTGTATATTATAGTATTACCAGTATTACACTGCACTTGACTTTAAACTATGTACTTATATGTTTCAATGATAAATTATTTTAATTTCAAGTTGTCTCTACATCATGTACTTAACGACATATCATTCAATCTGGTTAAAAAACGGATGTTAATTTTGTTTCGTTTTTTTTACGTGTTTCGGACCTTCGGTCAAAAGGGTATTGTTTTCGTAAGTGTTTTTATTATTTAATTTTTTTTTTTGTGGAGTTTAGGCAGAGTTTACAGCCAAAACTGTACATGGTGCCAACATTCTGCCAACGTAGATGTTGTTCGCATCTTTGAATGTATTATTAAATATTAATTGGGTTATTTTTGACATTTTTTTTGTGACAGCTTCTGGAAACTTCCTGCAATTACAGAGGCCTTCCAGTTTTTCCTGAACATAAATAGTTCTCTCTGTTTTAAAAATAGACCAAAAATGACATATAGTGGTGTTAGCCCCAAATATTATCTTTCATTTCCAGAGACCTTGTTCCATAACATTTTCAACCGTTTGGCCGCAATATTGGATTTTAAAAAAGGTCCTTCAAAGGTGCATGCCAATTGTACACGGGACCTCGTTTTTTTCATCCCATCCGAACGACTATAGGTTGTCCCTTGTCAGGACCTCTGTTCTGTACCACTTAATGAATTTCTTTATATTGGTGTCCAGGACCAATTGTGTTGAATTGTGAGAATGTATGTAACATGGGCATGATTCTTAGTATTTTTAGAGTTCCATTTGTAATATAGTTGTCACTTATCAGATGTAAATATACATAGCTAAATTTAGTATTGTATCAAGCTGAAAGAAGGTTGGTGTGTGATTTGCATTTTTTGGGAAAATATCAACTGGCTTAATCCTGTATTCAGATTGATTATTTAACAGTTCATTAAGAAAACAAAATCAAAAACGAAATTGAAATCTAGTTTTTATACGCCCACATTGAAATGTGGTCATATATGATCGTCGCCGCGGTCCGGCGTCCAATGCTTGTGGACGCTCTAGAGGCTAAAGTTAATATCTGATTGACTTTAAATTTATACACAGTGTTTAAGGTCATGAGACAAAGAAGCCTATTGATTTTCAGCGATTTCCAATAATTACTACCAGAGTTATGGCCCTTGATCGCTTCAAAAAATCTTGTGGACGTTCTAGAGGTCAAAGTTAATATCCGATTGACTTTAAATTTATACACAGTGTTTAAAGTCATGAGACGTAGAAGCCTATCGATTTTCAGCGATTTCCGATAATTACTTCTAGAGTTATGGCCCTTGATCACTTCAAAAAATCTTGTGGACGCTCTATGAGCTTCCCCAAGAAAGTTTGGACAACTTGACAGCCGCAAATGCGATTTCCTGTTATTCCAGCCCTGATTTGCCATTTTTTCTGCTATTTTACCCTGTGAGTCAAGCAACTTTAAAGTTTTTTAATGGTTTGCAACCAAAATCCCACTCTATGCCGACCTGACTTCCACTCATCCTATCATCCAATAAGACAATAGCATTCACAAATAATAATCAATGTCCGAAAAATGTTGCACAAAGCAGTGTAGCTGCAGACGAAATGTTTTAATCTATAGTCAAATCTTTACAAAATCGCGGTATTCAATTAACAGAAAAGTAAAATTAGTGTTTTATTAGATTTCGGGCATTTTATTTTGCCAATTAGATGCTATTTTGCCAAGCAGACAAAATATTTTAATCTGTAGTCAATACAATACAAATTCACGGTATTCAATAAACAGTACGCCAATGAAGATTGGAAAAACAATGTACTAAATTTATTTCCCAAGTCTTGCCAACATACAATGTAGTGTACTATATAACAGGACTTGCCATCATTTGGTATCAGTGTGTTAAATGACCTAATTATATTATGTAAAAACAAGACACTTAGTTTAGATATGCGGACTGATACCAATCTGTTACGTTTATCTTTCACTGATTAGATCGTAATTATATAAAATCAATTACCATTGTACTTAGTGCAGTGTTTACAGCTAATGTTCTGGTCAAGGGTTAAGACCAGGAATACTGTTTTTACCTTGAGGCACTTGGCTGTTAAATATCACCAACTGGCAACCCGACTATTGTCTGCCAGCTTATTGTGTGCCAGCTTAAGTGAGGGAGCGGTTGTTATTTCTTGATCAAATGGTTAGACGTTTTTTTGAACATTGAGGGATGTCAAGGTACAAAAGACTGCAATTAAACGGTGAAAAAAGAAGTTGACAGAAATAATTAAGAATTTACTTAGGCCTCAATATGTATGGTAAATGTACAGTAAGTAATGATAAATACATTCAGAAAGATAGGTTGCCAGGCAACGAAACATACGCCCACAGCAGCTAAATCGTCCGGGCAGTCAACAAGAGTTGTCGCATATTTTTACTTTTTTCGGTAATGAAACATTTATAATACACTAAAATCTGATTAAAATCAGAAAACCATTAGAATTTGTTTGGTTTTTATAAAGTTCTGCCCCATGCTAACGTTTTGTATACAAAACTTTTAATACTGTATCATGGATTTAGCTGTTCCAAGTCATAAAAATTCATTGAAAATCAATATATTTGTTCGTCTCAAGATCTTAAACTCTGTGTATCAATCTGAAGTCAATCGGATATTAACTTTGGCCTCTAGAGCGTCCACAAGATTTTTCAAAGTGATCAAGGGCCATAACTTTGGCAGTAATTATCAGAAATCTTTGAAAATCAATAGGATTATTCGCCTTGTGACCTCAAACACTGTGTATAAATTTAAAGTCAATCAGATATTAACTTTAGCCTTTAGAGCATCCACAAAGTTTTTTGAAGTGATCAAGGACCATAACTCTGGCAGTAATTATCGAAAATCACTGAAAATGAATAGACTTCTTCGTCTCATGACCTTAAACACTGTGTATAAAATTTAAAGTCAATCGGATATTAACTTTAGACTCTAGAGCGTCCACAAGTTTTTTAAAAATGATCAAGGGCCATAACTCTGGCAGTAATTATCGTAAATTGCTGAAAATCAATAGGATTCTTCG